CTGTTATTCTAACTGTAACTAACTTACTCTTGAAAAGTAGCGTAAACAAGACCCTCGATGGTGCCTTCTGCTTTCGCCGCCGCAGAACACTGCGCCGACGGCCCTTAGATGTGCGCCGCTGCGCCGACACATTGGCTCCTGGCTGCGCTTTGAACTCGCCGTCGCGGTCTTCGGTTTCGGATGAAGCGACGGAGTGGTTCTCCAAGTTCAGAGTACGAGTGTGCCCGCTAGGGCGCGAACATATACCCTCTATTTGAACCATTTAGTACCGAACCCTTTACCACCTCCCAGGCTCGTTGTCTTGGTTTAATTTCAGGGGTTTGGTTCTTTTAATATGGCAAGAAATGTGTCCCTGAGTACGGGACCGACGAAAAAAAACAGCCTTACCACTTTTCCTAGTTACTGTTACATTTTTCTCAGAAAGAACCTTCGCTATTTCAGGGGGGGCAAAACACATACCTTGCCCCCCCACTCTGAGAAGTGGGGGGGGCAAGCGCCCCCCTTGCCCCCCCGGTTGATACGCCCATGGCTCTATATCACACAAAACAAGGAGATAGAATCGAGGAGTCCCTTTTCGACGACAGCTTTCGTCACCGCTGCTTCGGAAAACAAGGTGATCGAGATGATAAGGGGAATCGGTTGACCTCTGAAATTTAGTTCAGCTATCAAACTATTCTTACGGGGAGGGTCCACAAGGGTCGCGCGGGCATATTCCATTCAGCAAGCCAGCCGATCGTGGGCAGACGGTCTTGGCCAAGGACCGTCCGAGCATTGCTGCGCCGGAACGGGTCGGAGTGCCTGCTAGGCCTATATATTCTGCCGAGCTCGCTTGGTCGGTGGGATCGTCGCCTTTGTTGCCTTTTCCGGGTGTCTGGATCCAGCGTTCATGTTCGCCGTGGTCGGTTTCAACTACTTCTTCATTTTTTTCTTGCTGCTTGAAGTCGGGACGCGCAAGAAGAGCAGGTAGAAAAATAAATGTCCGTTGGGTCGTCGCGACCGAGCAACTGAGCGACGTTGTCGGCCATGTTAATTTGATCGTAGAAAGTGCGTAAGACAGCTTCGGAGCTGTCGTAGGATTTTGTCGTAACCTGCGCAAAAGTTACGACAATTTCGTTTCGAGAATACGGATTTTCTCTCAAATTTGTCGTACGCAGTTTTTTCGTCGTAAGTTCGCTTTGAGAATCTGCCCCTCATCTCCAGCCGATGCGCGCGTTAAGGTGTTTCTAATAGCGAGTTCGTTTCACACGCACTGGCACCGTTCGAGTTCTCTCCCAGAATGCATCGCACTCACAGAGTGTTGCACGGAAAACTGGACTCAAACGAACTCGCCAAATGCACCGAGTGCAGAAGACTGACGCTGCCGCCATCTATGTTGTAGAAAAGGCACCGACTTCAAACCGAAACTAGCGCTTTTCTGTTCGGAGTGATGCGTGGGAATGCGTGAATGCAGTCGCTACCAACGTTTATCTACGAACGTTGGTCGCTGCAACCTGTAGTTTATAGTTGCGATGACTTCAAGCAGCTCGGCTGCCATAGAGGTAGCTACAGACGGCGTAAATTTCCACAACTAGCTGTCTACAAAGCAGCTGGTTATTCTTATAACCGTTTACACTGAAGAAAACTGATGATGCTGTCCGAGCAGAAGCTTGATCCGTTTGAGCATGGTATTATGCGTGGACCACTGAAAGGGTACGGCTTAAAACTAGCCTGTTGGAATATCCAGCAAAACTGGGACTTTCGATTTGGATCGTCATTATAGGTGGATCAGATATTAGCCTTGGTGAGGGCATCGAGAACGAGAGCTTTCTCGAACAAAATACGACGGGGCAAGTTATCTGACGTAGGTAAATGTTAAACATGATGATGTTGCCCAATCCTCGGGTAAAGTTACCATCTTTAGCTTTCTCTGATGCTTATTGGGTAGTCAGAGGTTTCTGCTGGTGGAGTTTTGTCGACAAATCTTAAATTTTTCACCCGCACACGGATGGTGATAGACATCTCGGGGGCCGCTGTTACGTTTGTTTTGAGCATTTCTTTACACACTGGTATATTTCAGCGTTTGTACGGCAACAGAGCGATTTAAAACCTGCAAATAAATCACGGGTTGTCAATTGCTCCCTTCGGGAAATAGCAGACGCTCACAATTCAAGCTGGCGTTTGATTTCGTGGCCCGCGGGACGCGATTTCTATCAGAAAATCTACTTTTTGTTCCGTTCGATTCCGCGACACATTGTAGCAGACGAACCCTTGTCGTCTGCTCCCGCTCCTCGCCGGCCCGACCGGAGCGAGGCATGACGGGATTGCATTTTGGCGCACTCCCGATTTTCTCGGTGCAGCGAGTGCATGCACGCGTGGGGTGTCAGCGCTGAAACGAACTCGGAGAGTGCAACGGTGCAACCACTCGTGGAGTGCCGGCCGAAACGAACCCGTTCCACGCTGCGAGTGGGCACGCGTGGGCACGAGTGCCGTGAAACGAACTCGCTATTGGGCGACTGGGCGAAGCATTCGGTCTTTACGAGCGAGCTCGACTTCACCTTTCCCAGAGGCAGACGAAATAACTCGAGCGGTACGTTGTTTTTGTCTAACTAGCAGACGCGCATCAAGCAGAGAAGTCAAGGGACTCGCTGGCGAGGTGTCCCGAGGCGCCGAGGTTTGTTTGCTAAAGGGCAACTCCGCTTCTTTTCCAGAAGCGCAAAACTATACAGTTCTCTTTGTTATCATCTACAAAACCCCCATGGCAAATATTACGACGGAATCCCGCCTAGAAGTTTATTAAAATCGCTGTCAAAGTTTGACAAGCACGAATCCGCTGGTTTTGGATGAGACGTGCGGGCCAGACAACACTGCCCGGCTGCATTTCCGCTTCCTCCAAATTCCTTCTCCCGGCACGTCCGCGACGTCATCAAGCATGTACAGCTTCTTTCTTTTTTTTTCTTTTTTTTTCAATTTTTTTTTTTTTTTTTTGGGGGGGGGGGGGGGGGGGGGGGGGGAGGGCACGGGTGTAGCCAGCGCCGTGAAAGACGTGAGTGACGCGCTCAGCCGGCCCGGCGCTCGACTGTTGATACTACTGATAAGCCGATCGCCTCGTTGAGCGCGGCTTGTGTTACATCCCATACTTTTGAACACCAAGTAAAATGAGGAGAGGGAACCTGCTTTTGTAAGAATTTTGAGTGACAGGTTAATCTTCTATAATCTTCTGGGAGGAGAATAGCGACACCTGTGCTAATCCAGGAGGCACAAAGGAGGATCCTGATAAGAGGGGAGCTCCTTCTTCCCCTTTTATATCACGTGGGTGTACATGCCTTAGTGATGCCGAATATACAATGTTGTCCGGCTTTGACACCGTTTCGGTTTCGGTTTGTAATCATGGCTAGAGTAAAATTACACGAAAAATATTTTATTTTTCGCGAAACAAAGGATTGGGGATTGTTTTTGAGTGCTTCAAAAAGCAAAATCGGCCACTATCTCAAAATTTTTGAAATTAAGCGGAGTTGCCCTTTAAGAACCGAGGGTGAGGGTGGTTAGTGTCCGCAAGTTCCCTCCCAAATACTTTTTCCTTCCTTTCGTGCGCGGCGAGACTCCTCACACTTTAAGGGCGTCGGCGGGTTGGCGCAGTTAACTTCGCCTGCTTTACGTCTGCTAGTCAAAGCGATATCTGCTTTACCTTTCCTGCGTCTGTCGGAGATTCACCGCTTTTTCACCGGCGAGAGTCAACGCTGCCTCGATAAACAAGGAGATGACAAGAGCAAGAGATTGACCTCTTAATCTAAAATTGAGGTCAGCGATCAAAGTATAATACGGGAAGGGTTCACAAGGGTCGCGCGGGCATATTCCATTCAGCACGCCAGCCGGTCGTGGGCAGACGGTCTTGGCCAAGGACCGTCGGAGCACCGCTGCGCCGAGTCGGAGTGCCTGCTAGGCGCTTGGTCGGGGTCAGTGGAATCGTGGCCGTTGAGCATTTCCCGGGTGTTTGTGGATCCAGCGTTCGTGTTCGTCGTGGTTTATTTGAAATACTTTTTACTTTTTTTCTTGCTACTTGTGGTCGGGACGCGTGAGAAGAGCACGTTCAAAAATAAACGTTCGTTGGTCGTCGCGACCAAGTAACTGAGCGACGCTGTCGGCCATGCTGATTTGATCGTAAGAAGTGCGTAAGACAGCTTCGGAGCTGCCGTAGGATTCCGTCGGAACCTGCGCAAAACTTACGATAATTTCGTTTCGTGAATACGAATTTGTTCTTACGTTTTGTTTTACGCACATTTTTGGCGTAACATCGTTTCGTGAACCTGACCTCTGCACTTTCGAAAGTCGCAGGAAAGGTGAGACAAACGCAGACGACGTTGCGAGCAGACGACGTTGCAAAGGAGCAGAAGACGCTCAGATAGGGGGTCGCGATCAGCCAATCAGGGCTCGGCGTCCTGACGTCACCGCTATTCCCTGCGCAAGCAGACGAATTTGCCATCCGCATACAGTTACTTAAGCTAGATGGGGCTGCTCTGCCATCTGTCGCTTGTTGAGCCAGTAAGAGGATGCAGGTAGATAAAATCAGTTACAGTATTTTTTTTCTTTTGTTTTTTTTTTACTTTTTACGCAGTTATGTTCGGTCTTAGCAATTCTGATGCAATGCTTCCACCACTTTCAGGCACCTCTGAGGTAAATCGTAGCACGATAGGTTACCAAGGCGATTTATACAGTTACTTTAAAGGCTTCCCCCTGCCTTAGCCTGCGTGTAACGGCTTTTTGTTACTCGAACGTGACATTTGTGGCACGAAACACAATCTACAATAGTTCTTTTGTTGCTGTTTCTTTTACCGCAAAGCTGACAGGGCAGTGGAGGCATCATTCTCGCCGCACTCGCTGCACGACAGTATGTGCAGGAGGCACCCGAGGAAAAGAGGAAAGCGCAAGCAGTCTGGGAGAGGGCACGCGTGCCTCTACCTTTGTTGTACTGCCACAGAATCGCAAACTCGCAAGGGGTGAATCACTTCACAAGAAACGACTTCTTTGGTTTACCTTCCGCTTTTATTCGAACAGCACCCAGAGCGCGGGTGCTGCACCTGCACGCTGCACATGGCCCGCGTTTCCAACCTGTCGCGGTGCAGCGAAGGGTGCAGCACGAGACGAGAGGGCCTGCCGAGGTGGTAGGTGCTACAGCTGCTGCTGGAGCAAGTCCCGCTCCTGCTTGAAGAAGTGCACCACGAGCTGTTCCATGTCGTCCTCGCAGCGCATCATCTGCTTCTCCATGGCCAGCTTCAGGTCCTCCTTGGCACCCTTGTTCACTCCTCGAGTAACTGCTCTCTGCCTGCACAAAGCCGTGGCCGTTCTGTCTCGCTCATGTGGGGCTCCTATGTCACGGACAGCTGCCCTTGAGATAAAGGCAGCTCTACAAGTAGATGGCTTCAACCACCAGTGTTTCGCTCGGGCATGGCTAAACAGACCAATTTTAATCGGTTCCTTCAACAGACCTCCACTGGCAGCTATGAATGCGGGCAGAATTGGAGGGAGAGGAGAAGAGAGCGTGCGGGAACGTCAGAACGCTGAGCTCTGGTTGGAATGATCAGAGTCAGTTTATTTAGTGGGCAGATGCAAAGCAAACGGGAGCCCGGCATTCTGACATCTGCGTGCGCTTTTGTCCCCTTCTCTCTTTTGGTTTGTGCCTGCATATACCTTTCGCAAAAATCCCAAAAGGCCACGCGCACTCGCTGCATCAATCACGTAACACTGGAGAGATAGAGAGAGGTGGTAACGCAGTTTGCAGGTGATCGCCTGCCCTCGCCCGCTCGCCTGCGTATAATCCGTGGACCGTTGTCTCCCCATCTGCTATACTCTGTTCACCCGTAAGCTGAGACTGCGGCGGGAGCTACGTGGTGCCTGCCGGACTGATCAGCCGTTTTTTCCGTCGCCTGACACGGCACTCTGTGCGTGGGCATAGGTGGGAGCCTGATCACGTGGCAACAGAGAGAAGTACGACTGGTCCTACGAAGACGCAGCTTCCGCCGGCGTCTCAGCTTAGGGTGAACGGAGTATACAACCGGAACTGAACAGGGTGTTCCCAGCAGTCCTTTTGGCACCGCAGAGGGGACTGCACGTTTTGAAGTTGCGGAAGTAAAAAGCTTCCAAACGTTGGACAGATAAGGTGTGCGCCAATTGCGTTCCGATTTTGTTACTGGACGATTGTGCAGCTCAGCATCTAAAAGAGGCGTAGACAATTGTGCTAAGCTATTTGATATAATTTTGTTAGAAAAAATACATTTCTACCAACCGCAACTCAGTTTGAGGTAAGGGGAAAATAATGCTCCTGGGAAGGCTAAACAATGCACTAATCAGAAATTAAGATTTTTAAGGGACCTAGCTTAAGGTGGAGCATTGAATACCAAAAAGTTCCGAAAAAATGCCCACCCAAAATGGAGATAAACGGTGAAAAACATAGGGTTGGCTGTCTTTAGGGATGCCACAGCAAATTTTTATTAAAAATTAATGATAAAAACACTGACCCCTGCTACAAACCATGTGACGCGGGAACTGGTGCCGCAGATCTCGGACACCGCAAATTAGCGTTTCACGATGCGATAAACACGTGGGAATCCACTACGAATTCCTGTGTCACAGGATGGTTAAGATGCGAGCTCCTGGCGGAAACCCGCCAGGAGCTCGTATCTTACGGGAACGAATACTACAGACCGCGAATGCGGCAGGTTCAAGTTTTATAATGTAATAATAAAAAAAAAAAAAAAACCCGCCACAAACTTGCCTGTCACAGGAACCGATATCGCGCGCCACAGATCGCGGACGAAAACGCGGAAATCCGCTACAAACTCCTATGTTACGGGAACAAATACCGCAGATCGCGAAGGCAGTAAACATGCGGGACCAATCGCGTGGAATCGAGATTGCGCGTGCAGATCGCAGAGAAAAACACGGGAATCCGCTACAAACTTTATGTCACGGGAACAGATGCCGCAGACTGCGGATGCAGCAGATTCGCATTTCACGGTGTAACATACACGCGGGAACAGCTCGCGTGTTGCCACGAACAAAAATGCGGGAACCCGCTATGAACTCGCTTGTCAGACGTGCAGGTACAGCAAGTTGCGCGGTTGATGCGATTCCCGTCGGATATCGTGTGACGTCCGACGGAAATCGTGGGGGTTGGGCGATTTTCGGGATTTTTATATTACAGACATTTAGCCAGAAAAACGGGATGGGCGATCTCTCGGGGGCAGGCGTTCTCTCGGAACTTTACGGTAGTTATTGTTTTTGATTTTGCAAAGTTGAACTTAAAATCTGCAAAGTGTTGTAATTAAAAAGAAACAAGAACACTACAAAACTTGTTAGATTGCATGTAATTTAGAAGCAGCCAGCATTGCATTCCCACACAATGACACAAAAATTAAGGCAAATAATTAGTGTGAAATATATCTTTTTCGAAATTTGCATATAATGAATAGAAAGATACCTGTCTACATTTTCAGTTACTCTCTTTTTAGACACTGCATAAATTTGTGATATTCTGTACAAAATTCGCAAAAACAATTTTTATTTCCAAAGTTGATTAATTCTCCCCTATAAATGGAAAACATGAGAAATGTGTACCTGAGCGTGGAAAAAACCTCACTGCCTTTACACATTCCAACATAAAAAAAAAATTACAACCAACATTTATTTTGATTTTTTGTGCCCAAGTTTTGCTAGAAGGTGCACATTTCTGATAACACATGCTAGAAAGTGGGTAGACCAAGATAAGCCAAAAGCAGCCCACCTCCCAACCTGACTGGTGGAGGTAGGCAACAGATCCAAAGTGACCCCACCCCCGTTGCTCGTGGTAATGTACATGAATTCTTCAAGCATGTCCGCATCTGTGTCAATCCTGTTGAGGAACTGGCCTTTCCAAGGCACTTCAAGGCTGAGCACGCGACCAACCACAAGGAAATTTTTACTCTGCTTTAGGCAGTACCTAGCTGTTGAACTAGATTTGCAGGTTTCTTCATTTTTATCTCTGTTGTTCCACAAAAGGCACGTAAGACAAAAGGAAAATAGGCAGAATTTGTGCACAATCTATTGGTGTTTATTATACAACATGATATATAGTCGACTACTCATAATGCGACCATCTCCGTATCTGCTAAAAGTTGTCACAAAGAAAACATATTAGCCCTGTTAGTGATCAATAGGGGGAAGGTCTAAACGCAGCTAGACCAGCTACCCTGGTGTAGGCAAGGGATTGATAAATTTACTTAGAGATTACCAAGGATTATGAATGAATTTGATAGAAACTCAAACTATTCCAAGATGCAAGTGCTAAGGGCACATCATGAAGGGGCAGCGGAGAAAAGCTCACCAGAGAAAAGCTCACCGGAGATAAGCCCACCAGAGAAAAGCTCACCGCAAAACCTGCAGATGGGGAGAAAAGCTCACCGGCCTTTGAACAGATGCAAAAAAAAGCTCACCAATTTTTTTTTTTTTTTTTGGCTTAGCGGATTTTGCGTCAGACGTGGCAATTTAACACAATTCGTATTCATCACTTCATTAAAAATAAATCATCTTTTTTTAATACTCTTGAAGTTCATTGTGCATATTTACTAATTCCTCAAAAATTAGTAATCTCCGATTCTGTATATTGATAAAGCCGCAAGGTATATAATCAGAACATCGTACACCGGTAAAAGAGACAACACTTATTGACAGCTGACAGTGCGCCGTCGGTAGCTCTGTCAGATAAAGAGGTTCGTTTTTTGCGAGCTTCTTATGGGAATAGCGGTGTGTGAACCGTTTCAGCTCCAAAGATTGTGTGATGCCTGATAAACAAGTAGGTGTTTGTTGATGTAATCAGTGACGGCTGGCGCTGTTCTCTTTCTGTTAATTTGACTAACAAACCTTTAGTTTCGAGAACAGCTTCGTCCTGTCGTGTTTGCTGTCTTCATTCCGTCGTCGTTGTTTGAGTGGTTTTCATCATGTATAACGCTTACCAACTCGCCTTATTCGCTAGCTTACAGAAGAATACATTTTATATAGGTCATGAGTAACAACGGCGCCAGTGTGCAGCTCTGAAGGTCATGGGTGGTTCGCTGTAGAAGGGCGCTATCACACAAAGGCAACGTGTAGAAACACCAGCACGAACAACTAGAAAATGTTCATGTCCGTGGAAGAGAGAAGCCTCGATGTCCTACTGACTGGTTTATCCTCTTTTCAAAGGTTAACAAAAGCTTCAAAGAGAATTTCAGGCACAGCGTTGTTGCGCCTTCACTTTCAAATTTTGGGCATTTACAGTTTTGATTTTTAGATCTTAAGCAGACATTATTAAATTTTCAAACTTTTTCCTGTTCTTCAAGTTTATAAAGCTTTCAGTTAGGCTTTTGTTGCCAAGAAAGTAAGCCACAGAAAACACTCGCCCGCAATTATTAATTTGGGAGCAATATACCCAAAAAGTTTAACAAATATTATAGAAAATGACATTTTCTTTTTTACAAAGCTGACGAATTTTGATGACAATAAATTGATATATGTTAAGCATAATCACGCAGCCTCCATATAAAAAAAAGAAAAAAATATCGGTGAGCTTTCCTCCGCGTACGCTCAATCGCCGGTGAGTTTTTCTCCGCATCCGCCGGTTTTGCGGTGAGCTTTTCTCCGGTGAGCTTATCTCCGGTGAGCTTTTCTACGGTGAGCTTTTCTCTGGGATTCATCATGAAGTAAGGTATACAAATTACAGCTTGGCTTGCTGCGCTGCAAATTCAGTGGATAAACTTTAAAAGACACCTTCTACCTTACTTGAGCCCTAACAGTTTGAGCAGATTAGTGATCTATATTCTTGCACCATAAACCAGGCCGCGATTTACTTGGATTCAAGCTTTCTCTCTCTCTTCATTATCGGTCAAAATGGCCTCCTTGAGGTCAGTAACCCATCTTGGAAAACCTCTGTTAATACTAAGTCATGTTTTGTAAATAATGCAGACCAGAAAAAAAAAAAAAAATTGAAAGTAATTAGCTGATTAGAGCTGTACAACTTGACAAAAGAGAGCAGCTCATATTATTACTATAAAGTCGAGCAGTACCGTTTATTAACGCAATTAATTTACTGCAAATCCAGTGAGTAGATTTTAGCATGGGACATGTGGAAAGCTATGTGTTCAGATATGTAATGTAATGCATCAGGAACATAAGTTCTTCCTGCTGGTTTAATATGACATTTGGCGACATGTATACGACAACAATGCTCCGATTATACTTGAAGGCGTCGGAGGGCCGTTAAACGTATGCTGGCCCGACAAGACAACCATAGGGCCAGAGGTCTCAATACCTCAATACTAATAAAGACGTTTCCACCCCCACCATTCTCCCCATGCATGCCAAATGTCACTGCATTCAACCAGTGAACAATTGTGACGGACGTGGGAACTAATAAACGAGACCATTTAAACCATAACTCTCAGTGGCCAGTGGGTTGCCAGGACATGCTGTGCCAAGCCTCGTAATCAGAGCTGCTTCAATTTTGAAAAGGTCCACGGCTCACGATTGCTACAGAAGTGAACCGAGGTTGACAGGTCCATTTCGGGCTGGACGTCTAGTGTCTTTCCTAATCTGTGGAGGTGGGTGCAGCTCAAACAGAGACCATCGACCTCTCTATTCATGCTGTCTCTGGTAAATAAAGGGGTCAGCATGTGACATCATGGCAGACTTTGTTAACCACTGCTCACTTGCGAAACCTTGACTACTTATGTAAAACGACTGTCTTGCTGGTGTTCTTTTGACCATAAGTGCACATCCTTGAAAGATGCCTTGGTCGAGAAAGTACAACTTCCAAACTACCCTCATGTGGCCACACCTCAACCACATCCCATGGAAAGAGAATGCAATGGACCAGCAGTGACAAGAAAGGTCCACCAGCAGGGTGAACCAAGTGACAGCAATGCCTCTGCCCTAAAATTAGAAAAGAGATGTCTTCTTTTCAAAAGGATACTGATGATGTAGTTAAAGAACAGCCCATAGCAAAAGCTGCCCTGCTTCTTGATGATCTCGAGGAGTTTCAAGAAAAGCTGCTCTTCCTCGGGCCAGTCATACTGGGTCATTACGATGAGGTGCCCCAGGGCTAGGTCGTCTTTAGTGAACTGCATCAACACCTTTTCCTGAAACAAATGTTATTAGTCATAAGCAGAGCGACTTCTAGAAGTGACTTTTGAAAGCGATTTTTGAGATCAAACTGGTTGAAAACTAGGGTAAGTAGATAGGGCCTCCATTTAGAAAGTTCTGACTTGACTGATTTTGAAGATAAAAATTTGTGAAAGGTAAAGGCCTTATTAGTACAAAAATGTAATCCCAATCTGAAATCAAAAACAGCTCTCAGTTAACTATCTAGTAGTATTTCACAAACCAAATAATTGACTGTCTTTTTTTTTTTTTTTTTTAATACTTTCCAAATGAAGGTTTACACCATTCAGGTTACAGCAGACTCATTAATTCAAACTCCAGAAAGCCACACGTTCTGTTTGAACTATCAAAAGTTTGAATTATCAGAAATTTATCTAAATATGGTGAAATATAAAACTATTATTGGTAATATGGATGGCTACATATAAAAGCACATATTTGATGATTTCTTCTACACAGGCCCAACAATCATAAGCAGGTATGCAACATATGAAACATTGGTGAATGTATGAGATAAGTTTATTCATCCCACAAAGATGTTCTCTATTGTGGACTCTTTAAACAGCACATGACACTTCTATACAAAATGTTTGTTCATCCAGCAAAAAAGTTGTCTATTGTGGACTATTAGCCCCCTTCAGCGCGCTTCTCACCGAGCACCAGTGCAATGTGGAGAAGCAGCACCCGTAGAAGCAAGCTCTGCGGATGCTGCTTTTCTGCAGTGCACCAGTGCTCGGTAAGAAGCGTGCTCAACGGGAACACGAGAATAGAAAGTATGAATTACATGAAAACGCCATTCGAACTAAGCGACTTATAAATATATTGAAAACATAGCAGGACAATGACGACGGATATCATCCCTGGAGAAAGAAAACAAGGGGGACAAAGGATAAACACAAATCTCTAAACACGGCTAGGTGACTGGTGCATGACCGAAATTTGAAATTTGAATTAACAAGCATGAAATACCCAAGTTTGAATTATCGTGAGCCTAATGTATTTCTGATGAGTTTAATTATATAATAAATACAACTATAACAAAAATTAATGAATCTCAGAAGCCTACTCCTAAAAATTACTGAAATTCTAAAGCGCAGCTCTTAGGCACTAGTTTCCGGGTTGAGCGGCGTCAACGTAACTGCACGCGTTGCATTATGGGACATCACAATTTCCCCGCTAAATTTAGCAGGGAAACTTAACCCGCTAAATTTAGCGGGGTTAATTTTCCCGGGGTTAATTTTCCCGCTCAATTTAGCGGGAAAATTTTCACAATTTCCCACTAAATAGGACCCGAGGAGGAGAGGAGGGGAGAGTACAGAGGGGGAGGAGAGGCATACCCTCCCCTCGTACCCTTCTCTCCTCCTCCTCCTCAAGAGCTGTGCTCCAATTTCGCAATACAGAGAATTGTACACGTCTATTTTTTTAACAATAATTCTTATAAATAAAATTGACATAATGTGAAAAATATGCAAATCCCATTCATAAAAAAGCTCATGTGAGTAAAAACCACTTTCCAGAAAAAAGGCACTAAAAAAAGTAAAAACTCTAAACACATAAGACGGAAATACATAAAAAAAGAAGAGTAGCTTTCATCTTTCGGTTACCTTGAAGCATGTGATTAGCGACTTCATGCAGAAACGCAGAATTTCTCCTCTGTCGTAGCAAGCAAACACAAGCTTGCGATCTGAAATGGATAAAATGAAACCACTGCAAAATTCATGAACAAAATGGCGTTTTAAAAAAGTCATGAGACAAAACTGATTAATTTAGACTGTTCATAATCAGAAGGTTTATAGATAGGGTTCTGGGTTCTCGACTAATACCTGGAAGTTGGAAACACAACAGCTGGTAAATGTTTTGGCAACTTAAATCTATAAAAAAAAAAAAAATTACAATAATTAAAATTACAGTGGTGAAAAGCAAAAACGTCAGGCCACTTTACATCAGTCTAGGTGGAATACAGCATCGCCTGTCCCGAGGAGAGGCCACTCCAGTGTCCTTTCTAACATAAGGCTACTTAAAAAAAAAAAAAAGGGAGCTTCTTTGTAACAGATTTTATGTTAATTCTATTGGCTGATTTCTTGTAGAGTGGCTTGTGAAACTATTTCTAGAGAAATAGTTTTGTCTTTTCATGTATTTGTTTAAAAATCTTATTCCTGTTTACGCATAACCTTGGAGAATTCGACATACTGTAACACAATTAAACTCCAAAGAACAGCAAATTTTGGAGAAATGGGAATTTAAAGAAGTCAGCAATAAAATATATATGCCAAAAAAATACCATTCGATTTTTACCAAAGATGAATTCAGAAAATCCAGATCCCTACCCTACTGGTTGCTTGACATACACATCAAGTTTTATATTTCTTCAAGCCCTTAGAGCTCGAGAAATTTAAGTTCTTAGTTTGTAAAATGCATGAATTTTTTATCACTTCCAGTCTGACAGTCTGCACCATTGTCAACCTGTGGATTGCAGCTATGGTATATGTCTGTTTCAAACTTGTGATCCAAACATGCAATGCAGACCTGCCAACCATTGCATAGAAATAACGACAGAAGAGAATGTTACAGGTATACCGTTAAATACCGCGGAAGTGCCCACTTCGTTCAAGCGCCCACTATTAAGGTGTTCCGAAATTTGGAATTCTGCAAATAATACGCTAAGCGCCCGATCTGACCGGACAAGCGCCCATGTCTAGATTAATCCAGTTTTCGGTGAAAGCGGGAGGGTGCTCCCCCGGTATTTTACTGTAAGTAGCCTGCACTGCCAGGTTCATCTCATTTTAGCAAATGCCAATAACCTCTGGGTTTTTAACTTTCTTTAATTCTCTCTCCCACACTCTATCAATCCTAACATTTTCGTCTTGCTTTCCCTTTCCCTAAGCAGAATAATACCCCATTCACATGACTGTAAAGGTACCTTTAGTTAAGGGACCTTTATTCTTTGTGGCCAATCAACTCACGATCTCCCGCGCGAGGCGTGTGCTCGCGACCCAAGAGCACGGACTGATTCGCTGATAGCAAAGGGACCTATGTTAAAGGTACCTTTATGTTGACCGTGTGAACGGGGTATGAAAGGTGGCTCCATTATTGGGAGACTAAGTTCTCGTTTTGCATTTCCCCTCTTTTCTGTGTTATTTTATAGTTTCTTCTCAATAAACTCACTCACTCACCCACCAGTGAGCGATAGAAATCTAAAACATCTAATGGTTCACCAGATTTTGCCGTCCTTTATTTCTCCTCGTCTGTGAAACAACTGTGAAAACAGGCTTATGCATGCCAATCACAGTGATGTAATCGGTCTGAGTCATTTGGGGCAGCTCTCGGAGCAGCCAAAAGTAAATTTTAGAGCAGTAAAAAAAGGTTTTTGAGCATGAGAGCACATTTCATTTTCATTCATAGCACTGCAAATATTATGTCAAGATTAATGTGTCGGCCTGCCAATTAAAAAGGATATGTATAGTTCCCCTTCTCACTTATGTTCAACCCTTTTTTAGCATAGATTGCACAGCAGGAGCGATTCCCTCAAACACAAAACTAGGATTTTGTGTTTGAGCACAAGACACAGTAACAAGATAACTAATGAAGGACAGCACAAACTGCTCTAAATGGTGATTTTAGGTATTGGAATCCCACTGAAATAATGTTGGAATAAAATAATTTTGAGCACTTAAAATAATGTTTTCATTAAGTTTTAGAAGTTGTAATAAAACTGCAATGCCTAATTGAGATAAAAGCAAAACCACTTGTCATTTGATTATGATTGTCAATTATGTTTTATATGTAGAACTTCATAACAAAGGGGGCACGCAAACTATCAGTATGCCTTCTAAAAAAACAATCCCGCCGAATTCAGTAAGGTTCTTCCCAAGCTTCCATCCAGTGCTCCTGCCAATTTAGTTCTAGTTTACAACATCTATATAAAAGTAATAACTAAACAAAGGAGTCAGCAAACAAAATAAACCTACAAAAGAGTGCATATAAATATTATTGCAATACCAAAGTACCATTGCTAAATCTTGGATTGGAAAGATGTACCGCAAGGATATCCCAGTCTATCATAAAAGCCGAAGTTGTGTTAAGAAATTGTGCTGCAGCTCGCACTGTAGGAGTGCTTTCCCCTTTGCACGTGGGTGCGCTGCAGCAAAGCAAGATGCGCAAAATCACAATGTCTACTCTGCGGTTGTCGCTTCTCCGCAAAACACCAGTGCGCGGTGAGAAGTGCACTCAACGAAACTAACTTTCTATACTCGTTTTCACCTCAAGAATCATAGTAAAAAAAAGTCCGGCTTCTCGTGGAGCATTACTAGTTTCCCCCTTTTTGTGGAGAATTAAGATATATGTAGCTGCATTTTAGATCAGATATAGGTTATCTTATCATGAAGTACATGTTTCAAAAGTCAAAAACCATTGCTTCTTTTTTTCTGAAACCAAATCTCGTAAGAACTACTTTATGCGGCGTATGAGCAGTGTGCAAAACTTCCTTTTTTCTTGAGGTGAAACTGAGTAGGGATGCCACGAACCACCCTAGGTTTGAATTCAAAAGGTTTGGATATTTTCAAAGCGAACTGAGGTTCGAATTTGAAAGATTTCGATGTTTTCGACCGTGCGGAGGTTCGAATTCGAAAAATTCGCAACTTTCACAAAACGTGGAGTTTCGAATTCAAAAAGTTTGAAGCTTTCACAATTTCTAGAAGTTTGCATTTGATTATTTCGAACTTTCTTTTACTTGAGGTTCGAGAAATTCGAAGATTCTGAACTTTCCTAACTTGAAATTCGAGAGATACAAATGTTTCAATGGGATCTGAAATTCGAAAAATTCGAACGTTTCGAATTCTTATGGACATAAAATTCTATAAATTCGAGGATTTCGAATTTTTTTCTACATAAAGTTCAAAAAGTTCGAAGGTTTCGATTCTCTTTTAGGGCTAAATCCTAAAAAAAACTTCGAAAGTTTCAAATTTCTTTCAAGTCCAAGTGCGCAAAGTTCGAAGTCCGGTTTTTATGTCCCGCCACAGTTTCAAATAACGTGTTCACGCCCCACTGGTTTTCACAAAATCAGGTTTAGAAAAGTTTGGGTGTGATATTTAGACTGCGCAAAGTTGGTTCAGCAATTAAATGAGACGACGAGTGTCCCGGATGTGCTAAAATATTTGTCAGTGCAGAGTAACGTGTGACCATAGATCAGTAATTGTGACCGCCAGCCGGGGGGGGTCTTTAACGTGCATCACGCAGTAGCAATCACACAAACGCGCTGTTTTACGATACTCATCCAGTTCGAAACGGTCAGGGACGGGCAGGAGGTTGAGGCTCAGAAAAACCTCGAAGCGATCTGGGAAACTAGCTCCCCACCCCCTCGCACGCTGGTACGTTGGCAGTAATCTGATCGAACGCCACCCGAGTGACACCGCCATGTAGTAAGTTTAGTTTGTAATTGTTCTGGAGGCTTATTTTCCGGGATGGAGGAAGCGGCGAGCAAAAAACACAGAAGCCGACATAAATCGAGGTCAAGGAGCGTTCTACCATACCAGTGGTGTCGGAAGAGGAAAAACGGGAGGGGGGGGTGCTCCAGCCCCCTTCCCCCCTCCCCTCCCCTCCCCTCTTCCCCCCAGCTATTTTGGACTGTGAAAGAAAACAATACGGGGAAAAAGAGCGTGGTCAAGCTTATTTTGATCTGAAATTATTTATGCATATGTATAGCTACTGTCGCTCTTCACTGCATAAAAGATCGTGCAAAATAGTCATTGTCAGAAACTCATTGTCAGAAGGCACTATTTGTACCTGGTTATTGGTTCGGAAGTTTAAAGCTATGTCCTTTCGACCTAAATAACTGTGCCAATGGTAAAAAATAATAAATAAATAAACATAACAATAAATGCAAAAATGAAAAGCAGGAGAGAAAACAAAAACAAAAAACTATCAAGAACCCGCCAGAAGCGTTGCATTCTTGCGTATTCAAAGGCCCAGAACTACGAAACAAGTTTCTCCTATCGAAATGCGTACAGGCTAAAAAAAACAATCCCAAAAACGTGAAAAAAAAAAAAAAAAAATTTTTTATGATGTGCGGAGTTTGAATTATTTTAGAAATCTTTCCCCATGAGTTAATTTGTTCCTCAACGTGAAAAAAACAATAAATACATTCATTTGTATTCTGCATATCGTAATGATATGTACTGTCTGCGCTGTTAATTTAAATGCAATACCTCAAACAATATAGACGAAAAAAATTACCAAGTTTGGGGCGTAATTGCCCGTAGATACATGTTTGAATATTTCTTCGAAACTCGCCTTGAACCACAATATTCATATCTTAAGACCAGTGTGTCGAACCGAAAAAAATACGGGTTCGGTTACAGTTCAGGTTCAGGTAAATTTATTTTGTTCCGGTTCAGTTTCGGTTCGATTAATTCGATCCGCGAACCGGTTTGCGAACCGGTTCAGGGCGCTGAACCGGTTCGCGAACCGGTTCGGAAATTATAAATGACAAATTGCAACATCAAAATAAATTAAAAATAAAACATCTAAAATCAGCACATACGAAACGGGATACATCGTAGTGTAAGGCTCAGGGATTTCTACCAGGAATGGTTTCTTTATGTGCACTCAAAGGTTACCTCACCGACGTTTACGCATTCGGACTTCATCTAATTGGGTCCGACGCAGTAGCTGTAAAATCCGCGACCTCCTTACAAACCCACTTACAAGTAGAACTCGCTACCTATCCCGCCACCTCGGCATGTAAGCAATTGAAGGAACAGTGGGGAGAAAATACAGCTTTCTTTATTTGAACTAGCCTTCGGTAACTCAAATTAGATCCTTAAAGAAGTTTTCATTAAACAAGATACGGAATATGAAAAACACTTCACCGAACGCAACGCCAGAAGGACGTAAAAGGATAAATATTAAAATAGAAGAGTTCGCTGTCTCACAAATATGTTAGTTTCTAAGTGCCTACACGAAACCGGATGCATTATTATCAAACTCCACAGCCTTTTCTTTTCTCATTCCGATGGAAGCAAGCTTCAAGAACTCGCGCGTTCTAGAAACGTGTTATGAAATGAGCACACAGCAGCATTTAGGATTTACGAGATTGTAGGAAAATAAAATCCCGTGACGCAATTTTTTTTTTTTTTTTTGCACAGCATTCCAATTTTCTTTTTTCTGCGCAAGCCGCGACCAGCGCAATACTGGTTCCTATGTCAAGATTCATGGATGCAGCGTTTGTCAAGATTCATGGATGCAGCGTTTATATTCCTAAGACTGAGTGGAGAAGAAAAATATGTAAGCGAGGTGTGTGTCAGTTGACGGCACTTAAAAAACAAATGGCATTGATAGCACATTCATTGTCAACAGCGCGTGGCCGAACCGTTTTGACAGGAGCCGGTAACAGTTATTTTTTTCCGGTTCAGTTCCAATTCGGGTTCATCGCGATAACAATATAACGGTTCGGGTTCGGGTTCAGTTCCGGAAAAAATACCGGTTCGGTTCCGGTTTTCGGTTCGGTTCGGTTCCGGTTCGACACCCTGCTTAAGACGACACTTACCTAGGCTATACATAGATAATTCTTAAAAATTTAACATCTCTACCATAAATAGCTTCGGCTATAGCGCGCTTCAAATATGGCACAAACGGCAATTTTCAAAAACCCGTTGTCCTTCCTCGCTCCTTCAGGAATCTATTTCTTTAAAACCAACCATGCCAGATGATTGAAATAAACGGCGTTGTCTTTAGCAAGGAATGCAGCACCGCATGTAAAAATGCAAGAAAAAATGCAAGAAAAAGAAATGACAAATGTACCGCACTGCTTCAACCCAAATGAAACCGCCTGCCGGTCTTTCGAAGTCACTAAAGGTTGAAAGTTTGTCGAACTTTTGACTTTTCAGGAATCAAAAGTTTGACAATTTTCGAATTCTTTAGATTCAGAAGTTCGAAAATTATCGATTTTCTTAGTGTAGGAAGTTTGAAAGTTTGAAAAGCTTCACTTCGAAAATCATCAAATTTTTTAGTCTATCAAGTTCGAAAGTTAGACAAGCATCGATTTTTGCGGTGTAATGAGTTAGAAATTTTGAAAAGCGTCAAACTTCTTAGTTTAACCAGTTCAAAAAAATTGGACTTCCGTCGAATTTCTCAATATGGACAGTTAGAAAATTCGAAATCTTTCTAACTACCTACTTGATTCGATCATCGAACCTTCGGTTCGAAAAAAGTTCGCGGCATCCCTAAAGACACGTATAGAACAGACCACGAACATGAGGATTATTGCGAAACTTCCGGGTACTGTCAATCTCTGACTGAAATGCATAGAATGTATGTTATTTGAGGCTATAATCAAAATTTCTTAAAACTCACTTAGGTACATCGTAACGATCTGACTGGATGGCGAGGCCTGAGCTATTATATTTTTAGCATTCTTAAAGCGAATATAAGTTGTGCAGCAATTTTCGTAGAAATTCGTCACATTTGGTCAAATGGAGCAGAACGTAGCAGGGTAAGCACTTTGGCATGGTTTGGTGCAATTGCAGCAGCAATCACATCACTGCAATCACAAGTGGTGCGTTTAAAGTGACCGTTCCTACACCTCTTCATTTGGCTGCAATTTCCTACACAATGGCCATGTAAAATCATTTTTGCAAACTCCCGGAGTATGTTTTAAAGATCATGAAACCAAGGCCCAAATCTGAACACTTTCTTAAAAAATTGGGAGTTAGCAGGTATGGGTACCGAAAGGAGCTCAACAAATTCTTAACTTTCGTGTTTGCAGTCTGATACAAAGTTCTGCCTTATCGGGGACACTGGCTAGAGATTGAACTTCTGAACTAGTGCCACTAAATAAGCTACGCTTCAGAGTAACGACACTTGGCCATAATGTGGCTTAAAATCATGGTTGCCAGTTACCTGAAGCTTTATCTGAACTCAGAGGAAGCACTTTTCCATCCTCCACAAATGTTTGAACAGTTTGTGACAAAGCAAAGCAATAGTATAAGAGCTTCCTAACACCGAATCTAATGCTGAGGAAGTCACACTTTTGAATCATGACGATCGGCAGTTGCGTCAGCTCTGCACAAGCACCAAAATGGCGGCGCCCACAACAATGTTGGGGAACGGAGTGTTGATACTTTAAGCGCAGCTCATTTAGTGGCTCTATTCTGAACTACTCAAGTGATTGGAATGAAATTTGCATGGGAGATTTAACTTCAGATGTAGGTGTACTGTGCAAACTTTCGGATCTCCAGGACAACTTTACATACCTGTATAAGAAGATTTGCCAATCTTCGTTAAGAAATCTATGATATGCAAATGAAGCTATTAAGCATCAGTATTTTCAGCGCCAAAAAACGACAGGACAAAGACGAGAGTAAACAGGACGAGGCGCACTCGCAACTAAAGTTTATTTAGGAAAAAAACACATAATATATAGGCCGTTAAAAATGCCTACTCATCCTATCAATCCAGAAGACCTCTTGATAAAATCAAACTCTTTCCCTGAGAGGGCAAGGGAAGGCTCGCTAACGCATTCATCTCCCTTTGCTCTAATCTCAAACGCCTCGTGCACTTCTCGGCATATTTTATCTTTGTATTTCGCCAGAACCTTCACATCATGCAGAACTGGTGAGCACAGGCAGCGACTACAATGAACAGCTAGGTTACCAGACGGGCTTGCTCTCATAGCTGACGCATGTTCCCGTGCACGATCATTGACACATCTGCCAGTGCACGGGAACATGCGTCAGCTATGAGAGCAAGCCCGTCTGGTAACCTAGCTGTTCATTGTAGTCGCTGCCCATGCTCACCAGTTCTGCATGATGTGAAGGTTCTGGCGAAATACAAAGGTAAAATATGCCGAGAAGTGCACGAGGCGTTTGAGATTAGAGCAAAGGGAGATGAATGCGTTAGCGAGCCTTCCCTTGCCCTCTCAGGGAAAGAGTTTGATTTTATCAAGAGGTCTTCTGGATTGATGGGATGAGTAGGCATTTTTAACGGCCTATATATTATGTGTTTTTTTCCTAAATAAACTTTATTTGCGAGTGCGCCTCGTCCTGTTTACTCTCGTCTTTGTCCTGTCGTTTTTTGGCGCTGTAAATACTGATCATGAACCAACTAGCCCAAATTTCTACTTTGCTATTAAGCATCATTTTAACTGTTTAAATATAAAGGGGGGTATGGTTCTTCCCACGGTGGGTGGCAGTGGCTTTGCCGCCCACTGCTCCGACTGACCGCCCATCGCTCCGACTGACCGCCCACCGCTTTAACTGACCGCCCACCACTAATTTTTTTTTTTTTTTGCCGCGGGATGACGATGCGATTTTGCCTGCAAACATGGCTGCAGACTGTCGCCGTCGCAGTCAGCAGGTCCGCGCACCGCCATGTTATCGTTCGCTATTGCATCGCTGACTGCCGCCACTGCCACACTGCTTCAAACAAAAAGCGCAAGCGCTCGACGTGTTTCTTTTTCTTTTTTTTTCTTTCTCCATCTCAGCGGCACGCCGCCCGCAGCGCCCGGGGGGGGGGGGGGGATGGCAATAAACAAACGCGACTAACCCCCCCCCTCCCCCTCCCCCCAAAAGAAGAACGAACGCGAGCGTGCCCCTCCCCCGGGCAATGTCCACCCCTCAGAAATTCCAGGGGAGGACCCTGAGCGGGGGATGTGGGACATCGGGCTATCTAGTTTTTATAACTCAAATGTAAATCTTTTAGGAAAAGTTATTACCTCAAAATATCAGGTGCAAGTCTGTCCTATGTCAATTTTTTAAAACAGTTTTTTCTCAATGAGGAGTTCGACTTAAAATAAAGTAAAGTAGATAGCCCCATTCCCACTAAATTTCAGTTCAGATACATTTTGATTGTGGTATCAGAACACTTTTACCTTCGAACAAAAGATTCCATCGTATTATATTTGCAGCAAGAAGTGGAACTTAAAAAAATCTATTCAAACATTGAACTCCTTTACTTTGTTACTGCCTCACATTGTGTTGAAAATATTTTATATCAACGTAACTATTTGGCATATAATTATCAAATTTAGAGTAAAAGTGCATAATTAGTTTCTAAAACTGAAAACCTCAAAATAGAAAAATTAATTTTTTTTTTTAAATCTGAGATCTAGGTTTATGTCCCCGTTTATAGTATGTGGAGGATGGGAGCAGCCTGTCTGAGTGTGGGACTTAAGGCAGCTTCTCTGTTTCTGCATTTCCTTTTTGCCAGATCCAAAGATGATAAATCAATGATGAATGTATCTGTGTGTGTTGCTCACCGGACTTCCTGTGTAGGGCTTCGGCTGGGTGGTAAGCAGAGGCGGCGGGGGGAGGAGCAACAGAAGTCTCAGGGAGCGAACAGACCACATCAAGGAGCTTGGAGCAGGCAGCCTGCAAGACAAGTTGGGCAAAGACCACCCTGGCTGTTCTCCTGGCTCGCAAACTTAACGTCACAAACAGCCTTTCAAACACTTTGAGGGCTTGTGCTCATGCCTACAAACATATCTAAAAACAAGCAAACAAAAAGAAAAGTATTAAGGAATGACACGAATGTCTTGAGCTTTGAGACTATCGAAACATCAATCTTGCTAGGAAGTCAAAATACTACTTGGATTATTCCTTCTCTCCACAACTTCGAGGGAAGTAAACAAGTGGAGGAAGAGATGAAGAAAATGGGGTCTCGTATTTTCCACTTGGAGGAGGTCCTGGTTTTGGAGGACGAGTACTGTCTAGTGCCCTGCCAGCTGGACAGCACTGTGGTAAAGCGATGAATTGCTGAGCCGCCTCGGTGGCTCCGAGGCGAGAGCGCTGGCCTACGGATCCCCATGTGGCGGGTTCAATCCCAGCCGAGGTGCCCGTAATCTGACGGAGGCTTCTTGCGGAGGAGGCGCCGTGTAACTGAGCTTTCGGTTGCACGTCAAAAGATCCCCAGGTGGTCCAAACTAATCCTCAGTTCTTCGCTGGGGCGTGCCAGATGCCCGTCGTTGGTTTGGCACATAAAAAACCTCCAAATTTGAATTTAAAGCGATGAATTGCTGCTAGAGTCAACTATCTCAGCTTCAGTGAGAAATCAGTTAGAAATGCCCATTACAGTGATGGAAGTGGCATTTGAGCTTTTATAACAGTTCTCGTAGCAGGCAAAGTATTAGTTTGGAGCAGCCACTGACAGTTTTAGAGCAGGTCCCAACATCTGTCAACATATCACTTAAAGAAAAAAGAAGAGAAGATTGCATTGCTAAATTAGTATATCTCTGATCATGGTTGAGGGTTCACCTTTGGTACTGAAGCATACTAGTTACCTTGAGTAATACAAATTCATAAGATGCAAAAGGAGCACACTACTTTATTTTTAGTAATAAGTCTCAGATCAGAGTAGGTTCCCTTTACAATGGGTGCTGAGAAAAACAAAATGGTAGAAAAATTAATCATAGTGCAGCACTTCAATTAGGGTAAAGCCCCTCTCCTCCTCCCCCTTTCACAATCATAGTTTATTTAGCCTGTAAATATAATTTCAGTAAAATTTCGGCAAAAACCATCATACCCACTAAAATGTTGGTAATTGAATACACGTCCCCCAAGTTTTATGACCAACCAAACTCAATATTCTAAATTCATTACTGCAAGAACCACCACCTTAGAATATTTTTTGAGACCTACAGTTGTGCTTTAAAAGGGACACTGCACTTTAGCGGCTTTGGGGTCAGAGTAGAGTCTGAGTTTGTTGCCTTTTCACTTCGACAACCATACTTATTCAAATATACATCTGAATTTTGTTTCTTCCTTCCTTGGCACAGCTTTTCAAAATTAGATACCAGTCTACAATCATGACCAAAGGAGGCCGACCTGTAATTGTATCGAGCATAATTTCTGAGCCCATCGTGTCAACCCAGGCACTCCCCCATGTTAGTTAGCCACTGCTCCTAGCACTGGTGCAAATTATGAAGCAGCGAACAAGTAGACAGTCGCTCAAGAACACTAACACACAAAGAAATACACTCACACAGTGCTGAACTATCAACTTATAATCTGAATTTATTCAAACTTCCTCGTCTTCGACCCCAAGGAAGTTTGACTAAATACAGCAACCTATTGTATTACTGTAACAGGTTGCTACTAAAAGCATATTTTTGAATAAACACTAAATCCAGCTACTTTACTAGAAATTTGCTCCTTTAAGAATGCACAATGAAGTTCCAACAAATGAAAATGTTTGAAATTACAATTAAATGCCTGATAAAATTACAATTAAATGCCACACTGACAGTAATTACTCGCAATGTGAGAGCTCTTATTTTACGTTCCGTCCTATCACTAGTTTCTGTGTAAACAGTGGTATATAGTACTATTCATACTCACTATTCATACCGAATATGTGTTTATTCTCCAGAGATGCTGCAGTATCTTGTGCAACTGAAATTTTGCAATTGTGGGCAAACTGGTTGATGTATCCCACATATATTCAAACTCCCCTAGCGGAAGTTCCGTTGTGCTGAGTTCTTTCCCACTACACCAGATAGCAGCACGTGGCCATATAATTGATTGCACGGCAGGACTCTGCTCCTTTGGACTTTCGAGCGTAATAATCTCGGCGAGACCAAGTGTGCAATATAATGCATGCAAGGTCTATCGAGGATATACATCATTTTGAAAGATTTACTCATGTGGGAATTTTTTCATGGCTGCTTCCAGTTGCCAAAAGTCACAAAGATTAATGCCAAAATGCAATTTGTTTACAGTCCCAGATAGTTTCAGTAAAGCTATGCCCTAGCTGCTGGCTGCAGATGAGAAAAGTGGAGGACTCACTGAAAATTCACCCAGAGAATGAAAGCAGCTTGCCAACTGTAGGTTCACCTTGATCTGAAATAGGAGATTAGGAAATTACATGCAAACAAAACTATTCTCATTTAAAATTATCAGTCCATAGTGACAGTTTTTAAAGAAAACTATCTTTTTAAGATAATAGGACCATGTTCATGTAAAAAAATGTATGTGAAAGCCATGTTCTTGGGAGGAGCATTCAACTACATGTGAACACCGTAGCTAATTTTATTTTCGAGATATAAAATTTTGAAGCTCGAGGCATGGAAATTGCCAAGCTTTCACTATCGTACTATGCACAGCCGTCAATTTCACACTGAAACATGCACGTAATAATCATTTCTTCTATTTAATTTATGAGGGGTTCACAACATGTACACATATATTAAAAGTTACAGTAAAATCTTTCTATGCAAAAAATGTATGAAACATGCCAACTTAATAACAAATCATTTCATATAAAACGACACATGATGTATAACAAAATTATCATCCTTAAATGTGTTTTATGAATATATAAGAAATATATGCCTATCAATTACTGAAGTTTTGTTATTAATGCAGAAACACAGCTCATTTCTCTAAATGTGGCAAAATTGCATGTCAATATTTAGAAAAGAACTCCATCTCTTATTTCCTTTAAACTCTCCATAACTGTTTACAGTGACTTGAACTAACTTGTGATGGCAAAACATTGAGTAACATATGACCTCCCTAATAGAAAAATGACACAAAACCTTCGCTTAAATTCAGCTTGCTTGTCTTCATTATAGGGGCTTTGCTACAAGACATCGGCTCCAAAGACATTTTCTCGAACTGCCAAAGGCTGTACAAAGGTGCTGCTCTATCGTAAGGTGCAGAAAGTTATGCTGTCCCTAAGTTAGCTTCATATTCGTGTTTCCCCACGTTGCCTCCCAAGACCGACCACCGACCAACTGCCCAACCAACTGCCCGCCGCTTCGCACCCCGCCCCGCCCTGCCCCGTCCTGCCCCGCCTGCATGTTTTTCTATCTTTTGGTCATTTTGAGGACAAATGATGCATGTGACATATAGCTTTCTCAGGAAAAACTAAGCCAAAAAGAAGCAATTATTTCTTTTCTTCAAAAATTGTTTCGGCTTCCCTTTAACCCAACTATATCACACACATATTTTTTCTTAAATTTGTCCTTTGGCAGGGACCGATATTACATCAACCCTTTTTCTGTGTGATGCATACTTTTCACTGGAACGATTTGACCCGTGTTTCGTGAAACACACTGTATGCATAGCTGAATGCTTCTCCCATGGACATGCCTTTCATATATCGTATATATTTTACAGAAATATACAAAATATCACCCAGACCATCCTTATATCTACTGGCACAAAAACACCCAACAACAAAACACTAGTGCAGGGGTTCTCAAACTGGGTTCTGCAAGCACCCAAATCGTAGTACCCCCCCCCCCCCCCCCCCCCTCTCACCTAATTTAACCTTCTACAGACTGAGCCGTGGATCGAGTTGGTGTTACGGGCAAAGCAATATCACCCTTCGCACTAATAGGCATATATATTTTACATTGTGCCCAGGTTAACCCCCCTTTGCCTCCTTATTCTGTCTGTAGTCCTCCCTTTTGTCTTATTCTGTCAGTGCAATAAACTCTTGTTCACTATCTAAACACCTTTATTGGCCAGTATTGTCGGTTGGATACAAGTGGGAAGGAATGGGGGAACGGTTCCTTGCTACTTTTTGAGGCTTGCTGTGATTCCCTGGGACGAAGAAGTTTGAGAACCCCCCGCACTAGTGGATATCAACTTTTATCTGTATTCCATCGTATGGTGGAATGCCGTCACACATTGTTGAACATCAAGGTACCAAACCACCAGATACTATATTTCCCTTGCATTGTTTTCGCAGCGATAGACCTTCCTCGTGTGAGGGATTTGGGCACCACGGTAATGTGCTATGCGTACAATCCTTGAATGCCAGCAAGAGTGGTGTCCGCCGACAGACCTTCGTAAGCAAATGGACCATGAAGGGGAGGGAGGGGAGGCCTTACGAGACAGTGCAAGGACACACAAATATAAAACAGATAGGAACAGCACAACTCTCTATGCCCTACGATAAAGCAAAACTGCTATACAGCCTTTGTCGGTTGTCAAAAATGTCTCCTTAGAGCTGAAGTCCTGCGGCAAAGCCCATGTAAAGAAGATAAGCTAGCTCAAAATGAGTCAAGGTTTGTTGTCGTTTCTTTCTTTGGGAGGTTATATGTTACTCAATGTTTTGTCATCACAAGCTAGATCAAGTCACTGTGAACGGTTAAGGAGAGTTTAAAGGAAAGAAAAGATGTAGTTTTTGTAAATATTGACGTGCCATTTTTTCCACATTTAGAGAAATGAGCTGCATTTCTGAAACAATAACAAATATACAAAAGTGGCTAAGCATAGTTTATTTGTAAAATGCATGTAAAGATGACGATTTTGATATATTTTGCATTGTTTTATAGAAAGTAGATAGCTGGTTAGTAAATAATTTATGAATGTGTCTCTAAAACATGTCTATTTGACTTGTTTCATAACTTGTTCTGCATAAAAATTGTTTATTGTAATTTTTAACATTCTGTGTACATGCTGTAGAGAGAGAGAAGGGTTTATTAAGGAAGGACAGAGAGGTTAACCTGAACGTAGGTTCTGGTTGGCTACTCTGTACTGGGGAGAAGGGGGAGGGGGAAGAAAAGGTATGACAATGAGGAAGAAAGATGAGGTGAAGTTGTCAATGAGGGTGAGCAATGGTACAATTGATTAAAATCTCACAGGCATTTTTAAGCACCCTACAAAGTGTCTGATAATTCTGTGTTCGTGAGGAACATTACCAAGGCCTTCGTGGCCTTCATGAATTGATGAGTTGTGTCCCAGGCACCAAGCACTTTTGATGAGCAGAAAGGCCGCGAGTCCAACGCCATTAATGTCTGTTCCAGCACTTGTCGATCCTCGCTGAATTTATCACATTCACACAGGATGTGCTGAATTGTCCCTTCAACTTCGCAGCTTGGACAGTTCGCGGAATCTCTCCTTTGAATCCGATAAAGGAACTGCGGTGTATATGCCACACTAAGCCTTAGTCGGTGCAGGACCGCCTCTAGCTGTCTTGAAAGTCCAGATGGAACGCGGAATGCAAGTTGGGGATCAAGGGAGTATAGCCTGAGATGGTAGTAATGTGGATTCATCCAGTAGTTTTGTGAAATTTCTTTCGCCATGTCTTGAACCAGAATTTTCGTATCCCATCTGAAGTAGGGTATGCAAATTTTCTTGCCGTTACTGGTTGATTTTGCTGCACTATCTGCTGCCTCATAGCCGGCGACACCACAATGACCCGGTATCCACTGAAGAGTTATGTGATGACCCTGCTGGAAAGCCCGGTGGCAGGTGCAGAAGATTTGGTATGCCAGAAAGTCGTACGCATTATTTTTCATAGAAGACTGGATTACTTGTAGCGCTGGTCTTCAGTCACTGAAGATGGTCCAGTTCTGGGGTACCTGACATAGGATGTACCTTACTGCCTCTCGTATGGCCGCTAGCTCAGATGCCGTTGATGTCGTTTTGTGTCCTATTTCAAAACTGGAGGAATTTCTGTGGGCGGGTATTACAATCCCAGCTCCAGCTCGTTCTTCAGAAGAGGACCCGTCGGTGTATACATGTGTCGTCGAGCCATATGTTTCATTTATGACCCTTAATGCCAGTTGTTTAAGTACAGGACGTGGACGAAGTTCTTTGGACAACGTCATAGACCTCGTCACCTTTGTAGAACAAAACAAGATGGAACGACGAATAACTACAGCCGTCTTCCTTGATGTCATGGGCGCATACGACAATGTGACCCATGAGGCCGTTCTAAATGCGGTAGAGGAACTTGGAATTGGTGGTCGCATGTTCTCCTGGTTAGAGAGCTACCTCACAGGAAGATCTATATATATGTCAACGTACGACGGAAATACAAGTTCTCACATCCTCACAAAAGGCGTACCACAAGGCGGGGTATTAAGCCCAATTTTGTTTAATATGGTTTTGATAAATCTAATCCGCGAATTACCAACCACAGTACATGCATCTATTTATGCTGATGACATTTGTATCTGGGCGACCGGTGTCACACGTTCTCAGATACGGGCGAGACTCCAAAGCGCTCTGAAAGTTACCCATAAGTATCTCATCGAACGTGGACTTCAAATATCAACTTCCAAATCAGCTGCGACTACGTTTTCCCGCAAGTTAATGGACAGATACCCTATTACTATCTGTGGAGAAAAAATTCCGTACGTCCGGAAGCATACGTTTCTAGGAATAACTTTGGATCGAGGCTTAACGTGGACGCCTCATGTATCCCGACTTAAAATGAAGCTGACATCCATAGTGGATTTTATGCGATTCATCAGTGGCACAACATGGGGCGCAACTGTTGGTTGCCTACAGCGACTTTTCGAAGCCTTCTTCCTCAGACTTCTGAGGTACACCTTACCGGTTATCAACAACACCTGCATTACCAATATACGAGCCCTCCAAAGCATCCAGGCGCAAGCTCTACGAACCTGTTTAAGGCTACCCCGCTCTGCTTCGACGCCCGGGACCATTGCGGAGGTTCGCAGGTTTCCAATTAAAGCATACATGATACAAGAGACACTGCGGTTGCACTTGAGGCACCTTACACAACATTCTCGTCATCATTTAGCAACGTTACCAACAAACAGACCAAAGTCCAGCTTCTCCAGAACGATAAGAAAGCACAATACTACATGCTGTAAACCTTTCATAAAATAAATAGAAGAAATTATTTCTATGTGCATGCTTCGGTGTAAAATTTGTGCAAACTACCATAGTGAAACCTTGGCAATCTCCACACCTTGAGCTTCAAAATTTTATCTCAGGAAAACAAATAGCCACAGCGTACACATACAGCTGAATGCTCCTCCGAAGAACATGGCTTTCATATATTTTTTTTACATAAATAGAAAAAGATGAGACCCGGACAATCATTGTACGATCTGACATAGAAACACCCTATAGTCAAAACAAAATGGAAGCAAACCCTTTCACTGAAGATTTATTTTATATATAATTTTATCCAAATTTTTAGAATCCTTATTTTTAACCTTAAAGGGGAGGGTGCAACGATTTTAAGATTAAAAGAATTTGCATCTTGTCATTTTTACGTCGTTTATCATGTCCCAGAGGATAGAGAAAACACCTTCATTAAAAAATGTCGCAATTTCACTGCATAATTGCAAAGCAAAAATTGAGCTTTTTCCTCCACCTGCAGCCGCCAGTGGCAGCCAAAGGAACTACGGCGAGAAATTACGTGACCTCGCTCGGCTCTAAGCTGCAGCATAACGCCCGCTAATCTCAGCAGAGAGAGGGAGAGGAAGCGTCCTCCGAGATAGCACACGGGAACCTACACGGCACTCCGTACGACATCACTAGGAGGGGGACCAGGTGTGACCCTGAAGGCTGGGAGTGAGTTGAGGGGTGCCAGAAATGCCAATCTTTATCTTTTTTTTTTTTTTTTTTTTTTTACAACAATTAGGACACGCAGGCAAAATCGGTTTTCTGTTCTTTAGTTCAGAAGTGTCAGAGGGCAACTTTCACAAATTTTTGACCGAAGTCCAGAAGTCATTGCACCCCCACTTTAACAATACCTGAAAAAAAAAAAAAAAAGTGAACAAAGAATTGTTACCTTTACTGTTGGATCCTTTGTGACTTCAGCAGCTTGGTACAGTTTTGCAATTGCTTCCTTGTGAAGGTCCTAACATAAAAGATGACAAACCTCTAGTCAATTGGTTCTGACAAAAATTAAATAAAGCTCAGAACTTGGCATGCCCCAGTTCCCCCCTCACAGATCTGACTAGTGTTTTGGCTGCACTTCTAGTAGATGTTGTTTCTTAATGTTATCATTTCAACTGGTGTAAAGACAAGAGAATAAAGATACCCCCAATTACCTTGTAAAGGAACAAGAATTAAGACTGCAATTGTATAGAAGGCTCTCATCTCTACAGAGTGAAAAAAATAGAACTGAATATTTGCTTTATACCCTGTTTCATCCTCATAAGCGGAAAAAATGTTAGCATGCTCGAAGCTGTATAGTGAGTCAAAGCCCTGCCACTTAGAGTGCAAAGACTGTAGCCAATGACAAAGAGGGGGCCACACCTGGTAGATGAGAGACTCTACAAGAAAGGACTGAAACCAAGGCCACTCTTCCATGCGGATCTGTTGTGACAGCCGGGACAGGTCTGCGTTGAAATGGAACATGGCACATGTGAGAGAAAAAGCAAAGGCCATTAAGCTCGGTGCCTAAAATACAGAACGCTAAAAGCTCATATTCTGATGCACACCGATTCACACTGTTAGTGCGAATATGACATCAGGACTTTTTCACACCTTACTATGATCTGTCCTAGGTCGCAAAACTCGTCAAACACAAAGATTATTTGTGTTATGACATGGCGGGGGAGGAGCTCAAAGATAGCCACAAAGTTTCCTTCTCTCACAAACCCGCAGATCCGTTTCTCTTTGTGACGTTTTTCATTGAAATGACGAAAAATCCCCAGCACTCCCTAGGCGCCGAACAAGAGCAGCAGTGTGCAGGGACAACGGTGGTTCGTACATGTGACGTCACCAAAAATATTATCAGCTGCGACCAACATGTTTAATGGTCTCTAAAAAACACGGCAGAGGCTTGGGATAATTGCATTCTAAAATCAACACCGTCAAAGTTGACAGTCCGATATCGTTCTTATTGCTGCCAATAAAGCAGCATTAAATGTCCCTCCCATTCCTTTCCTTTCTCTTGGCCTTTTGGATATGATCAAAGCATAGCCCGACATGGCTAGGTCAGAACCAGCCGAATAGCGTTGACCGCCTTCAAGAGGATTTCACCTTCCAACAATTGTCCCCTCATTGGCGGGAAAAATAAATTTTACTGCTTTTTCTAAGTAGTGGCTATTGGTCATGTAGGCCGCCAAAAAAAGTTGGTCTGGTTGGCTTTCCAAGATTAGCCAAACTGGGATTAATTCTGTTTTCATCAATGAAAATATGAGTAAGGCCAGGTTGTCAATACTGACGGTGATGTTTTAAGAATGCGATGACTCCAAGCATCCATCGTACACAATCAAACTTGTCACCATCGATTCAAACACGTACCATCAATTTGTAGTTCACAACTGACAATCCTCACCTTAACGTCAAGGGTTGGAACTATAAAAGGAAGTCACTGAACGCGCCTGCATACAACGAGCCGTAGCATGAGCCTCTCGCTTGGAAGTCTGTCATGGCCGCTCACGAGTTCATGGAACGCGAACCATTTTAATTCCAAAACCTTTAGAACAATTATTTCAAAAATTGCACGTTGTGCTGTTCCTCGTCATAAAGAGGTAATGGGGGGAGGCAACCACCCCAGGCCATAGCCTCCCATATAGTGTGCAGACATTCCAGAAAGGTATAATAAAAATTCAGGGGGAGGGATATTTCCCTTATTCACCATCCTTGCCCTCGCCTCCCCCCCCCCTCTGCCCCCCCCCCCCCCCCCCCCCCCTCTATCCTGAACATTTTGTATGGCACTTTCTAACCCCTATTTTGTCGTGTGTTTGTGTTGATTGTAACCCTTCTTATTTTTCTTCCCCAGTTTTTCATCGCCATCCCTATTGCTCCCTCATCTCTCAAACAATACCGACGTCACTAAACACACTGCCTGTGGATAACCCCGGTGGCGTTGTTGACAGTGGCGGAAGATGAGCTCTAATGCCGCGTACACCGCGCATGGCTCCACAATATCACAAAGTTCAATCTTCGCCTCGATTCCGAAGCGAAGATTTCGGTCTTAAGTAACTCCGTCCCAAAATTGTGAAACAACGATCTTGCAACGAGAAAGTTCAGAGTATTCAAAGTCCGCCTAGGGACAATCTAGGCAGCAATGACTCTAACACGGCGTAGGGATGTAGGGACAAGCGGTCACGACGTCTTCAGTGCAGCCGTTCAATTGCCTGGCCCTACAACATTGTTTGCGCGTGCTCCAACGAAGCTCGCTACGACTTTGTGATTCACAATCTCTGGAATTTGAGCACAGAGAATGTTTGGATGATTGACACCTCGTCCCGCACGACGGCATCGTTGCAAGAGTCCACTCAGCACGCTCTGCGAACTTCAGCCCGAACTTTGTGTTTCACGAGTTTAGCGACCCTAGATGGCAACTCTGCTCACTCGCACATTAGTATCAGGAGTGATAAAATACCAGATGCTATACAGGGTGTTTTAATGCGAAAGCATTAACTGGTCCCATGGCGCAAACTGACGTCATCAGCTTTCAAACTACGCCAAACGGTGGCCAAATGGCACCTAAAATCCCCTTTCTCAATGGAGCGAAGTGAAGCCGATTTCTGATGGATTACGCTCCCATTGGCTGGCGTGCGTCATCAAGGAATGAGGCTCCCATTGGCTCTCGTGAGGCATAGTTCCAAAAAAAGCCACCAGTGAAGCCCTCTCCATGGTGGCGCAGCGCACACAGCGGTCCTGCAACCAGTAAGAGCAGAGCAGCGGTGCGGGCATAGCGACAGAGGAGACCTCGCTCGTGAAAGCTTTGGGGAGGGTGCATGACTGAGCTCAGTGCAGTGTGGCCACTTCACGAGAGCATGCGCTCAGCCGTCGGCAGGGAAAACATGGTTGTCCACGCCACAATGCCACAGACAAACTACGGGAGCAGAAGAACGAAATTCATGCTTTCAAATTCACAACTCATAAGAAGAGCTTATTTATAGGCTTTACAGATTTGTTTTAGAAAAGCTCTGAAAGCTACGCAAATTCAGTCTCTCCTGGTAAGTTATAAAGCCAGGGGGACATATTATATGGGGCTAATCGTCACGATAAGTGAGATAATTATATAATACTTCTTAATTAAATGTTGAATTAGTGAAGGCATACATACGGTTACAATTACAAACTTGCTGAGCATCATTAAAACCACTAAATCAGTAAATTTTGGAAAGGCTTGGAGCACGTGGGAAGCACAGTGGTGCACCAAAGTTGCCAATCGTGCAACAGGTGCACACCTGGAGGTGTGCAAATGTGCCCGCACATGTTTTTTGTTTATTATCTATGTTTTCGTACTGCCAGTCTTGCCCCTGTTTCATGAGGAATACCGTATTTTCGCAATGCTGAGCACCCACCTCCCATACAAGAAATCTGAGATTGGAACGCCGGTATCGTCGAGCACCAGAGCCGCAAACAGTCACTGGCGCTTGGTTTCAACATCAGTTAATAGATGGCAGCACATAACGCCACTTTCCACTTTCGCAACCGTGCAGGTGCGTTGCAGAGCCGTGGTGCGTTGCCATATCCTCTATGAAAGATGTTTTGTCTGTTCGGTCTCTTCATGCTTGCTGTAGTCGGTTCAGTCTGTTGGTTAAGCCTATTCGTCCACGTTGGTCTCGCATTCATACTTTGTTCGCTGTGTGCATGTGGTTTGCAGAAGTCATTCAGCATGAGTGTGAAGAGAATTTCATACACTATGAAGTTTAAGAGAACAGTTATCTCTTACGCGGAGGACAACAGAAATCATGGCGCTGCTGAACAATTTGGAGTGGACAGAGCATGTGTGATTCGGTGGAGGAGACAGCGGGGTCAGACCTTCAAGGGCGCCGCGACCTGCAAAAAGATTACGGGAGCGCGCAAGGGCCGGCACCCGGAGCTCGAGAAGGAGGTCTGGGAGTTTGTCCACAGCGTACGATGCGGCGGCTTTGCAGTCACGGCCGATTCCATAAAAAAGAAGGCTATGAAAACTGCCACACGGATGCAAATTCCCCATTCAGCATTCCGCGCAAACCGAGGCTAGGTGGAGTGCATGATGGAGAGGAACAGCTTCTCTTTGAGACGCCGTACCACTGTCTGCCAGAAGCAGACAGTGGTGCGGCATCAAGTAATCAAGTAAATACGGTAAGTTTAGCACATTACTGCACTTCCCATGCACTCTAAATATTTCTAACATTTACTGATTTAGTGGTTTTTGATGATTTTGAGGAAGTTTCTAATTGGAATAACATGTTTATTTACACTAGTTAAAAAGTTGGTCCCCCTAGCCATGCAACTCACCTGCACAGACCGCATTAGTGTACCGTAGCTCTCCTGGACTTTTTGAAACAAATATGTGGAGCCTAAACAAAAACAGCCTGTATGTTGCGATCATTGCCGAGCACCAAAGCTGACCACTCAAGTTAATCCCCCGAATGAACACTTTCCACACCATAATAGTTTTGGTAAAACTTTACAATTCTAAAAGAAAAACAAAAAAGCCCACAATCGATTGATTATTCATGCTTCTTGTACAACAAACATGCTCTGTAACTACCTACCATAAAACATTGAGCAACACCGCACTCCCAATCATGAGAAAATTGCAACAAACTTGAGCATATGGATGACTATAAGAGTAAAAGTTCTGTGTAACTTATGTTTCATTACCAACTTTTCTATTTGCAAAAAGTAAAAAAATATGGGGACTTGCAATGAGTATGAACATTGGATCAAACCTTTGCAAGCACCAGTTGCAAGCAGCTTCTCACTTCAATAAAATTTTCTTCTGTAACCTATCGTATTTTGTGGGGATTCCTGTGATCTCCCTTCCCCGATGGCCTCGATAACAGCCGCAGGTCCGAACGCTCAGGCTCTTGGACTATGTCCTTACTCTGGTATCTCTCTTGGTAGCTAGCTAAATCCCACAATTCATATCTTCTCATTTCATAAGCACTTACTCTTATCAATGGTCTTCCCACCTCGCCCCACTGCTGCCGTTCTTACACATATATTCATCCCTACATATGGTCCCTCAATCACTGGTCATGAGCCCATACAGCCAAGGTACAATCCTTCCTAGAAACTTTCACAACTTAAAACCTGTGTCCTATTGAAATGATGCGAGCCTTCAGCATCTTCCAATGTGAAACGCAAACATAGAGACTTGCCTTTCTTTAGAAACTGCAGGATCGACCAGCACCTGATGGCAGTTAGAAAGCTTTGGGTGAGAACTACCGCTGCCTCTGTAGGAATGCACTTGCTCACTGTCAATGTTGGAGGCTCCATGTCTTTCCCCTGAGAGAATACAAAGAAGTATGCACTGCATCAGAACAAAACATTCTAACTGTTTGCATAGTTTCTAACAGATGTGGACTCTCCATATCCAAATGCTAAGTATCAAATCAGCTGCTAAGCATGTTGACCTCCTTCGTGATCGTAAATAAATTACTCTCTCTAAATTTTAGACTTTCTAGAATTATCAAACAATTTTAGCAGTTATTTGAATTGTTTTTTTCCATATACCATATTTACTCGCATAATGAACACACCGCCACAGCGAGCATCAATATTTGGACTTTGTTTTTTCCTTTCGCGTAATGAATGCATCTCCAATTTTCGGCTCCACGAGTCTCAAACTGCATTCAATGTGGCTAGCCACCGCGCCAATTTTCTTTTTCTACCAAGCGGCCAGACCAAGCCAAGCCAAGCCGCTTTCATAATGGCTGCAAGTGCATATTTGCGGAAGTGATCAACCATGAAACCAAGCGGCACACACGCCTAACGAAGCTGGGGTTAAGGAATTTCCCAGCCCTGGACATGCTTCGCCCATCGGATGCATTGATGTCAACAAACACGCCATCGTCTCTAGTCTGCCTTCGGACAGTGAAATTGTGAAAGTGGTTAGGCCTAAAAACGGTTGTGTCGCTTTTCACGCTGAGTGAGCTTCATAGGGCGCTTTTCCTCCGATAAAAAGCACGCGGAAGCACTCTAAAAAGGCTCGCAATTTAGAGAGCATGGTTACTTTGGCGTGCTCACAATCAGTTGCAGGTGCACCTTCGTCAGTGGAGACGTGTCACAATACACTGCCTTGTCATACTGGCACCTAAAATGACATTTGTGCAAAGTGTGTAAATGCAAAAATTTTACCCTGTCAATTTTTCCGTAAAAAAAGTGTGTTCATTACACGAGTAAATACGGTACATGGGATATTTTTCATAGTATCAGATACAGTCAGCAAATGATTTTAAGAGGTACGTACATCAGCATCCAGCTTTCTTTTCTTGTGCTTTGGCCTAGGGAAAAAAATATTGCTTGATGAAGCCCAGCTTAAAAGTACCAGGATAAAACTTATTTTTAAAAAATGTGCCCAAAGATGATTGGCAAGCCAAGTTCAATGCAAGAGCTTAATGCTCCTGCATCAGATTTGCATTGATTTCTTTTGATGCTTGTTCATGCCATTGTTAAAGATGACAGTGATCCCATCAGCTGAGGAAACAAACAATTCTGCTGCCGGATGCTAGTCCAACGTGTCCAAACAGGTGGTGCAGTTTATGGTGACTGCTGCAATGGCAAAGACTTCTCAACAGCTATGGGAAGCAAGGAGCTCTCTGTATGCCATAGTCGGGGCATTTCCCTAATTTAGAAAAGAACCTGGCAGTATCCGGGGGAGAAATATGTGAACCATGGCAGAGTAGCTATAAATTCACGCCTTCTTGGCATATGAAAAACGTTTCTCCGACTACAGTTTGCCAGTGGGAACTCTGGGCATGGGCCACTACGGCTGTTTCACACGAGGCAATGATGGAACTATTAGTGAGGCAGGGAACTTATTTGAGCAGAAATGTGCCGTGGGCAGCATCATTGAGGGTGAATCGTCATACTGCCATTAATAAACTTTCTATGCAGAATTTTCATTTTACTGACATGCAATAGTGGAAAGGTCAACCTTATAATTTAGTGAACTGACAATCATGTAGATATAGCATTTGCTGCGAAAAAAGGAAGGAAGCCTTACTGATCTGTTGGCACGTTGGTCCACCTGGCTCCTTCCAAAAGAATACACTGAACTTCACTCGAAGATCCTAAAAGGAGACGAGAAATAAAGATGAATGATAAATACCCAAGAGCAAAAGTAGTTCTTACACAACTTCACAATATATAGAGCCACCTAGCCCACAGTGACTGTAGCATGTGGCCCACATTTCTTGCACTGCCGCTCACGCCGTGATGCTGAAAGCTGCCGCCCAATGCACATGCTCATTTGCACGAGCCACTAGGTATTCTCTTTCTGTTGTTAATGATTGCTGCCATGAGTGCGAACTGCTGTTGCAAGTGTCAACTCGGGTCACCCATATGTAGGTCACGAGTGCTGTTAGACACCTAAAAAATGATTTCCTGCATACCGTAAAATATTGGGCAAGCGCCCACTTGAACTTTGAAGATAATCGCAAAAAAATGGGGGATGGGCGCTTGTCCCGTCATCAATTTTACATATAAATGTACCGTGCGTATTTTCTCAGATCTTGCAGATTTGGAAATGGGCGCTTAATGTGGAATGGGCGGATGCGCGGTATTCTATGTTAGATTGATGAATTTAACGCGGCGTAACTCAAGCTTGCCGTGTCCGCCAGATCGGCTCACATACCGTGCAGGTTGGCAGTACATGGCCGCATATTTATTGCTTACATTGGTATAAAAGCTTGCTATCTCATCCCGAGAAATTGCCCACCACATATCTTTTACCGTTATCTCTTCACATGGGTGGGCAATCATTCACGACTTTACTGTACTATGTGTTTTTATATTCTTGTTTTATTGGGGGCCCCCACCTCATTAACATAATGCTTAAAGACAAAAAATTGGGGCTTCAATCCATGCTGCAAAGGTGGTTGGACAGCGAAGCTGTAGTATCACCTGCAACGATTGCCCACTGCACTATAGACCCTTTCTATGGCAAATGCCACCAGGTGGTGCTCCAGCCTTTGACATCCCAGAGAACTTCTGGTTTATAAAAAGGATGAACAAAGGCCACCTTAACACCCCTGCTTGAAATGCAGATGAAACGTTTAACCACCAAGTCTCCAAGTGAACGCCAAAAGAACAAAGGAGTGCGAGATCTGTAAAAATGTTTTGAGTATTCTTGTAAACCAACTTGCCTCCTCCAAGATGTAACGTTGTACAGCCAAAGGCCCTCATTAAATCTCAAACTTTGTTGTCTGCGTCACATTTACGCTTTCTGGCACTGGGAACATAAGCAAGCTCAATAGGCTTGCAGACTGTGTGACCGGAAGTCGCTTGGGACACAAGCGGCAGTTCATGTTTGCAAACAACAAACGGGTCAATACCAAATGACTGACGAAAGAGAAGTAAATACATCGTAGAGAAGCGTTTTATATAGGAAAGGCTAGTGATGCCACTTCCCATGTCACAAGCTGCCGTCGCCGCGGCAGCTTGCGCAACAGTAACCTTTACCAGGAAATGTATGCGGTGAGCGCTACGTGCTCCGCATTTTTATCAGGAGCGCCCTATCATAAATTATATGGTTCGAATGCTTGTTTTGTGCTTGTTCTTTATTGAAACGAATGCTGCGCTGCATGTTGTTTGCGGGATATGCACCTTCCGCTTGAATCGCTGAAGATATTTTTTTTGTGAGGACGCCAACACGAAAAAATGCGACCAATGAGTCATACAGTTCAACCCACTTATAACGATAAAGAGAAAACCCGAAATTTCAATAGTTAGAAACGATTATCGTTGTATCTGGGCTAGAAACTGATCATTTCCGGTCTAGAAACTGATCATTATAAGCGGTACATCGTTATATGTGGGTTGCACTGTATATAGCTTCGCTGTAATAATAAACTGTAGGTAATTCAACTTATTTGTTTTATTTATAGCCTTCGGGTGATATGCTATTACTAATGAGCATATCCAGTAAAAGCTGCAGATACCAAAGTCTGTGATTTTTTTGCCGACCAATTTATCAATATATAAAGTAAAAGTGGCATACTAGCCATGAAAGCACGGCACCTGATATATAAATACCTACAGAGAAATGTATTAACTGGGGAAGAGGCATCTCTGTCCGTAAATAAACTCAAAAGACCCATGACAATAGGCATAACTTTCTGCCGCTACTTTCAGGCCAGATATCTCAAAGGCCAGATCAAAACCAAATTAAAAAAAAATATGATTTTATCTTTTGTTTCAGCTAAAAAATTGCCCAAAACAAGTAGCTTTTGTTTTCCTCAAACTCAACTACATTCCTTGAACAATAAATTATATTGTGCAGGTACAAGTGATTCTACCAATCAATGCTACGAGGCAATGACTGAATATTAACACAATGGCACAGAAGATGAAATGATTTAGCACCTGGGAACCATGAAGGATTTATGTGCCTTCCGTAGTTGTAGAGTGCATGAAGAAAGAGCACAACTGTGCAGTAGAAGACCTGCAAAGTGAAAGAGTCCCATATTATACCAGGCACACATAGCACTAATAATGATTGCAAGACTTTTGAAACATCCAAAATTGAATATCCGTAAATCTAAAACTAGAGTGGTTGAAAATGGTGGATAGAAAAAAGTGGTAGCCCACACAGCATTATTGCCCCTTTGCCACTTGTACAAGAGATTCATGTGACAGATTCATCCACCATATGAGAAATATTCTGCAGCCCACAATTCCCACCCTTGCAATATTACATACTAGTTTCTAATCCATTACATTGATTGTATGATTTCTAAACATGGGGCCCACATGCCTAACAACATAATCTTAGTTTTTATCTGAACCCAAACTGTTACAGTGCTCTGAAAGTATGTGCAATTCAAGGGAGAAGTACTAGAAGAGTAACCTAACCAAAGTCTGTCCAGTTCTTTATTGTGCCCATACACAGTCGAACCCCCTTATAAAAAAACTGGAAATAGCAAAATATTAAAAGATCTAGACTTCATTTACATTTACGAGGAAAGGGGCTTCGCTGAAAGCCAAATATAGATCTACGCAGCGTTCATCAGTTTAGACCAGGAGTCTCCAAACCCCAAATTGCGGGCCAGAAGTCTTTTGACCGGCCTGCGGCTGGCTGTGGTTTTCTCCGATGAAGCCCGGCCCGCGGCCCGCTTCCAGCACACCCTCTGCCATCAGTACAAAAAGAAGTGCGCATAAAGAAATGGCACCACGACGCGCTCCAAATGCGCAAGCTAAAATACCAGAAAGATGAGAGAAACTGTATCGTAACATGTGTCCTCTTGCCATATTATTAATTAAACTTCATCAATACCAGCCCTAATCTTTTTAGTCCCTTTGTGTCTGTGTAACTATGTTAAAATTCCATTGTGCTCTCATGTCCATTGTGCTCAGTTACCTCCGTTGCAACTATTACATATTGTCAGATTAGTTTTATCATTCTCATAAGTCTTTTGCAATGCGTGAATGTGCCAAAGTTCCTACATGCTTTAATTAATGACCGGTGAGTTATTTGGCAGCACATGTTGTGTAATATCATCATTCGCTAAATATTAAATTTCAAATTCAAGCATTTGTATTAACCCATTTAGGGATTCCTTAATACCACTTACTCTAACATCTATTTCTGCATTTAAATGCTTATCTAAGTTCATTTATTAAGATTTTCTTTGTTTATGATTACTCTTTCTTTCCTAGGCCCTTGAGGCTGCGACGAATTGCTAATCCGACCCCATAGCCAAAAAGCTTGGAACCCCCTGGTCTAGACCAAGAAGCCAAAAGAGACCAACTTTTCAGGAAGACCCTCCATCTAGGGTTCGGGGACAAGAGTGCCCATACCTCACGCTCTGTAACTTACTAAAGTTTTGTTACTTTATTTTCTTGTCTGTATTCACTTTATTAAAATCATTCCTATCATCCCAAACGACTGTATAGTCTGGAAGTCTGCCAGCGAAGTTGCAGGTAAGTATGTGCAGAGGTGTTGGACATCAGGAAGCTCATCAACGAGCAACGCCCAGCAGAAACATACATGCATTGAAACCTTTAGAATGCGACATTAGCCGTGTGGTTGAAAAGCTACACAAACTCCCACTACATTAAATACATTCCTGACCAGAGTGTCGAACCGAAAGTTTTATTGGTTCGGTTCAGGTTTGGGTTCATGGCTTTCGGTTCAGTTCCGGTTCATTTCCAGAAAGCAAAAATAATGGTTCAAAAAGGTTTGAATAGGTTCAAATAGGTTCGAACTGGCTTGAACCGCTAAACTGAGACTATATTTTCCGCATTGTTTTGGGCAACAGGCACAATTTCCGCCGTAAAATGAGTAACTATATAGTTTTTTTTATCGTTCATACAATCCACTTTTATTTTCTGGTACCAAAAAGAAGACATTGCATTATTTAATTTCAAAGCAACAGCAAAAAAAAAAGAAAAAGAATCTACATTAACATTCAAAACGTCGTCACATATATTTGACCTGGGAAACGGAACAAATGGTCCCAGAACAAATGGTCCCGGAACAAATGGTCCCAGAACAAATGGTCCCAGAACAAATGGTCCCGGTACTAATGGTCCCAAGTACAAACTAGGAAAAAGTGGTCCCAGATTAATATCGCCAATGTGTTTTCTGCTTTTTTTGGATAAATCCAATAAAATCCAATAACACTCGCCGAATTTCGAGGCTGCCGGTTGCACGAACTCGACCGGTTTTTATATATTTCTAGGAAGCTCAGAAACGTTTTGCGCTTTGGAAACATAATGCATGTATAAAGGCATCGAGCTCGGCTCGATATGTGTACTAACACTACGCGTCATGACGAGCTGGAAGTAATTCGAGTTTCATGGCTTCAGCAGTATGACTGGGGGAGCGGGGGGGGGGGAGGGGGGGAGGCACTTGATCGACTGACGTCTTAGCGAACGCCCACGTTTCACCGAATGACACTTTAGCAAATAGTCGGCCGCCGCGAATCGGCGTTTATGGGTGCGCCAAATGGGTTCGCATTTTTGTAATGAGCCGCCGCAGACTGTCGCCGCAAACGGCGTAAGCGCAGCGGGGGGGGGGGGGGGTTAACACGCGCCCCTGTTATTCACTAAAACGTCGATTCGCTCAAACGTCGCTGTTTGATAAAACGACATTCACAAATGTGACATGGACCCATAATAACTCCTATAATATCGTTTAAGGTCACAAAATTAACGTTTAGCTGTTGGACAGTATTCGTTTCGAGAATATTCTGACGATTTTGAATGAAATTAAGTTCAGTACCCGACCACTTTCTTAAAAGTAACCGGCCTCAAAATATAGACGAAATACTTCATTCCACCAGGAAATCACTGATTGCATGACAGATGAAGTTTATTGCATGCTATATTTTAGTTTCAAAACAATCCTCTTACGGGACCATTTTTTCCTACCTTCGAGTTGGGACCATTAGTTCCGGAACCATTAGTTCCGGGACCATTTGTTCCGGGACCATTTTTTCCGGTACCATTAGTTCCGGGACCATTTGTTCCTACACCCATTTGACCTAAATCGAAAGGTTGTCATGAAGTGAGGCAGGTGGCCTAAAATACCCACGATTGGAAGAATTTTACATTGCAGTATTAAAAACTGAATCGTAGTCGTGCTCTTGAACTAAGGAATGAATAACAAGGCATAAAATCATGCAATGGACACCTCATCGCCATATATATTTTGAACATAGTTTTCAAAATATGTCTCACAATATATATGAGGACAACACAACTGAGCTAAACGCAATATTATTTTCAAGATGTCACAAAACTTTTAGGACAATTTTCAAGATGTCACAAAACTTTTAGGACAAGCCCATTCAATCTACCCTTTATAGAAACACTGAGCAGCAATCACAATTCTTGTTTTTCTAACCAACATTGTTGACACTCAGCACCGCGAAGAATCATGCAGAAAGAAGTGATCTGAATTGTTCAGTCTAATCTATACGCACCTTCATACCCAGATCGAATTTGACCTAAAATAGTATGTATACAAGTGTGCATTTTTTATACAGGATAAACTGGCATAACCTGGCTCTTGAGGTTTGTTCTTGACAAGATGCCAGTCAATCTAATTTGTAAATAAGCATCACCCTTGCTAATTGGTGATTTATTGTTAAACAGAACAAAGTAGTGTTTTGACATGGCAGCTACCTAATTTATCACTTTCTTACGGTCATAGTTGTGCCCCTGTGTACTTTTTTTTACCTAATCCACAAAAACATAAAGTTGCTGTTCATCACATAAAAGAGGCAATAACAGACATCTATATGTTTGAAAACTTATATGCGTGCCAGGAACAGTTATTTAAATCAGTTTCAAAATCGAAAATTTGTTTAGGACTTTCAAAAATACATTATATGCGTGCCTACAGAGGATAAAAACGCTGGAAAAGATTTGCAGATCATATTTCAGATAGTTTGGGGTGCATTTACTTATGATGTACAGTAAGACCTCGTTATAACAAAGTTGAAGGAGCGGTCGTAATTATTTCGTTATAACCGTTAGTTTGTTATAGCCACTGTCCATTTCTTCCCACTTTTAGCAAACAAGGGGAATTATGATTGCTTTGTTATATCCATTAGTTTGTTATATCCCATTTCGTTATAACGAGATTTTAGTGTATATCTTTAAGGTGATTGGCCCTTAATTTTTGTTGTAAAACCTTCAGTCAGTAATTAAATATATATTTTCTTATCCATAAATTTGACTGTACGAAGTTCACATAGCCACTTGAGACCGCCACAGGAGGACAACACTCGAAAATATGCCAGCTCTTGAGCCTGCGGAAACAAGGTTTTCTGTTCGCTGCTTGCCAGTGTGAAACACCGGTTCGCGGGGTATACCAAAAAAGACTTTGTGCTCACATTATAGACCTGAAGGCAAATACACGAAATGTGCAGAAAGATAGAGATAATAAATGGTGTTCGTCTAAACCATCCCACACACAGTGCCGTATTGCAAAAAAGAAATACATAGAGATGCATGCAGTGATGTTCCTAATTACACATAAGTAGCACGAAGGACAGACAAATATTATTATAATCCCAACGTAAATCACATTTGAGCATCGGCTTGCACGAGTTCGAAACTTCGCGAAATACTGCCTCGGGAGGCTAATGATATACTTGGTTTTATGTGCACTTGTTTAGGACCATCTCTTCACAACTCTATGCTTTATCAATCATGCGCTCCAACCTTTTTAATAGGCTGCCGTATATCATCGCAACACTAGTATATATAATGAACAGTTTGACACTTTGGACATCTACCTACTTTTGCTAGTGTTGCGAACATCACATTTCACCAGGACACTGATCTGTTTGCACGTGTTGTCATCGCACTACATGCTGGTGGTCACTGCGATTTGTTCTTGCTGAAAAAGTCAGATCCAGTGGTGCAAAATGCACGCCGCAGAAAGCTTGCGCTCAGTGCAAGTCGTGTATTCGAGAAACAAACTATTTTTGCTTGGAGCAGCGTCATGAGGAATGGCGCGAGCGTCTGACACCACGAAAGCGAGCTTTCTGGCAGGAGCACTTTTGCAAACAAAGTAGTTTCCTGGGCCAAGCTTTCTGGTATGTGCCCAAAATGAGGGGCAGAAGAACTTTTACACAAGTATGTTTTTAAAGCAACCTCCCTTTTTATTTTTTTGTTGCTCCTCCAGAAAATATGCTTCATTCCTGAGGGACTCCCTCCTCCATTTGGGGGTGTGAATTCAACGATTATATTTGTGCCACTTGTTAACAGCAATCCTCCATTGCTTTTATTTTGCATCCAAAAACTGTTAAGTTTAAACAAAATACGGGGTTGGTCGAGGTTAGGGGAAGACCTCGAGAATGACGCTCTTGCGAGGCTTAGAGTGGATGCCAACTTTCAGCTGTTCCTGTGAGGGGATTTTTTTTTTCAGGTATCCCTCCCATACGCACTTGTAGTCACATTTAGTCCTTTCAATGCTTTTATTCTCGGGGACAGTGTTCTGAGGCAGTTCAGCAAAAACGAAAACATGTTTGGGTGCTTCAATAGTGTGTACAGTCGTCGACTGATTTTTCGGACGCCGATATTTCCGGACACATCCGATTATTCGGGAGTTTCGCCGAACCGTCACTCACCCCATAGAATTAATGTATAACATTGACCGAAATTTCGGATGCCTTAAAGCTCATTGCTTAATGTTTCAGACACAATTTGTGTGATTATGTTGACGCCAATTTGGTTGTTTTGATTTTGCCCTGTAGCCTCGATACCACGTCTTAAGCAATAAACAAATTGAGCTGAGGCTACAGTCGAGTTTTCCGGTTCCCCTATAGCCAACATGGTTGCCGTCTGCCCATACTTATGGTTCTTCTAGTTCTTCTCGTGGCCCCCGTTTTTTGAGTGCGACCGCCAGAAGAGCGGCTGTCTGCAATTCTTGTGGTCTTGAAGCGCAAAGGTTTTTTGCCTATGGGCTTAGTAGTGAAGCGAGCTTGGTGGACTAAACATTATCTCCAAATAGTGCCAAATGGCACCAACTTCAACTTCGTTGTTTGTGCCAACGAAGGCACCGACAAAGTGCAGCACCGTGATCAAACAGATCAACAAACAAGTGAAAAGAGACCAATATAAAGCAGAAGTTGCACGAGAACTGGACGAAACGCAATGGAATATGGGTGAAAATTTGATATTTTGGCTGAACACAATTTTTCGGACCGCTCCGAAATTGTCCAAATAATGATCATTATTTGGACAATTTCGTGGCGCCCTCCAAGTCCAAAAAATCAGTCAGCGACTTTACATGTAAAATGAGTTGCGCAACAATTTTTGTACTTTCAGTAAATACCGCTAAGAACTAATCCGTGACATTAATAACTTGCAAAATAACTCGATAACTTTGCGGAAAGGCAGGCACAAAAAAAAAAATAAAGGAAAAAGAAAACAGCCTTCCCCTTTTCAACTCGCAATTAGAACAAGCGGCCACGTGATATGACGCTAATTATATTCTGTCAGTGTTCACCATAGTCATGTGCCGTGTTGGCATGGGCTGAGCTTCGACATAGTTAGAGTTTGGCTATTCAATCTTTGATTTAACGAGAGCTATTGCCCGAATGTTTGGCCATGCCAATTGTCACAAACCTAGGAACTCGACTCGGGCTCATGACAATCGAGTACATCACAGTGTCACGACTCGCGGTTCGAAGTCGTGATGTCATGTGACGTCACGGTGTCAACAACGCTAATAAATCAATTGACGTTCTATATTTAAATTGACTTGACGCAGTGAGTCTTGTGACGTCACGGGGCCTTGTAATGTGACATTACTCGACAGCATCTATTGACACCATGACGCCACGTGGCCATTTGACACACGATTAATCATAGTGCCAATACAAAAGCGCCACGAAAAGCAATAATGCTCATACATTGCAATTCCATATATGATGATTTGATGAATACATAGAAATACAGCTGCCAATTTTTATTCTCAAATATTTTTTTTATGATAATAATAAAAAAAAAGAATAAAAATTACCGTGAACCGGTTACTGTTAAATTTTTTTCTGGTTCAGTTCAAAGATGGCGGCAAAGATTTCGGTTTGATTCGGTTCCGGTTCAACACTCAGTTTCTGACATAAAACCTTCAAGGTCCGGGAGACCGCCGTACAACCCCTGGAGAGATTTACGACTCCTCATTGCAGACCACTGTTTAAGGAGCATGAGGACTGGCAGCTCTGAAACTGCAATGCGCGAATGGTAACTTCGCGATCGGTAAAGAAGAGCAATAAATATTGGTCTTGCTCCTCGTCTCGTGAACAAGGCAGTCACGTGCCTGCTTTTGGCGGCTGGCCAGCGCCTCCTCTGCCTCCTGGGGACCTGGGTAGTCCACTCCAGGGTTGGGCCTGCTCAGCACCAAAGAATGGAGTCTCTGCCACTGGGAGTCTGACACGCCGGCCGACCCGGGCTCCGACACCAGGTCTGCCAGCTCCCAGTGGAGCCTGTGGCTGGCCAGGCCCACGAAAGACAGCAGCTGCCGCCACAGGTCGGCCTCGGGGCTGCCGGCCTCGGCCTCTGGGCTGGGAATTTAGGTGGACAGTGGGGCAAGAAGCTTCTGGTCTGCATCGCACCGAGCTTGGAAACAACAGCTCAAAAACAGTTCAAAAACAAGTCGAAGCACTTATCCTCTCCAGTCTTCCACGTGCGCTCTGTCTTTCGCTCTGCTTTTGTGATGTTCAACTAACTAGACTGTCAACTTATATTGGTGACAGCATGTTCCTAGCAAAAGCTGGCATACAGCTGTAGGGGAAATGAACGTTTACCCTTCTTGCATCATATGCTTCCCATGAAGGTGCACTGTCAACACTGTTAGCACAAACAAGCGATTGCCGTTTTTTTTTTCCCCTATTTTTCTTAGAATTAAATGGCTGCCAAAAAAAAAAAACTATGATAGAAAGTCCTCATTCGGGGTCTAGAGGCTTGCTTGACTGCGTTTTACTTCGTTAAGACTGCTTGCGTTGAGCTGTTGCTATAACGACCCTTACGACGAGCCAATGGGGAGGCACTGCACTGCCTGACGCGACGCAGCACAATGCAGTCGACGCAAATGGGTGAACACCTTAACTGAAGTAGTAAAAATTGGTGCAAGAAAGTGCCAACGTCGTATTAACGCTGGCGGTGTCGTACAGTGTATGTAGCAGGAGATGCTAGAAAAAACTCGAAAAATAATATTGCAGTGAGTCTCAGGATAGACAGTTCAGACACTTTTTCAGGAGACATCTCTTTTGAGCTAAGTCTTTCAGTAAAAGTAGGGTCCCCACAAGATTTTATTCTTGAGTGCTCTTCTCAAAAAAGAAATCTCACAAGAAATACTCCTTGATCAGATTTCACCTCCTCCAGCCACAAAGCTTTTAAAAATATTGCTTTGAGTTTCATTTTCATACTACCTATTAGGTATAAGTTGTAGACACTGAGAAACCTGCTCCGAGCTATGCAAGCAAAGTATGTATACCTTTGTCCCCATTCTAAAATAATGTTTTTTTTTAGTGTAGAATTGATGGACAGAGGGATCTGTTGCAAATGCTAAAGCTGTTTATACAGTACAGAAACACAATATCAGGAATTATAATGAGCAGTGCGAGGAAGCCTCAACCCACGTTCATCTCATTCAGTGAAATCTGTCAGGTCAGACACTTATGATGTACACATTGAGAGGCATCTGAGGCTTCACTTTTCCACATTTTTCTTTAGCTGATAAAGTCCACAACTCAAAGCTCAGGGTCAATCGAGACAGTCTTCCAACAATGCTTACCTCAGCTTCATAGAGAGGTCGAGCTTGGCTTTGTTCGGTGCATGTATGTACACGGTATAGAACTCTATACACTTGTGGATAAGTCTGTACATTTGTTTGATGGGAAGGTCTACACCAAGCTTCAAAACAAGTGGTGCCACATCACAAACTGGAAAAAAAAAATAAAAATAAAGTGGCATATTAATTAGCACTGCAGTTGCACACTTGTAGATCCCTCAGCAATATTACATGAAAATGAAGCGCACTACTGAGTAAACTTACCCAACAATTTCCTGAACTGGTTTAGTGGAGTTTGACAGTGACCATGTTTTTCAGCCATCTGCAATGTGTCAATCAGCTTCACCTGTTTAAAAGGTATGGACTTGATTAGGTTACCATTCTTCCAAATGTTCAATGTAGATAAAATAAATTTTGTCAGATTACATAATCTTTCTCACTAAGACCACTCCCAGCTGGCAAATAAAAAAAGTAGTTGTAAGAAAAATTTTATGCATAGAACATATAAGATTTGGGAAAAGAAAGGACTAGAACCACTGGTGGCCCAGCCAGTTCAAGGTTTGGAGCATTTCTTAAAGCAGAGAAGACCTTATTTGAAGCAATTTTGTATCAGAAAAATTCCTTTTTTAAAGAAGCTCTGGAGCAGTTGCTTATTAATGATAGTGGTGGGAGGATGTTTAATCACTAGGATTAACAATAACATTGCATATTTGCAGTTGTGCTGCAATGTCTACAGCTGTGAAAAAATGACACAATAAATTGCACACTAGTCTCACAAAGGGTGTAAAAACTTATTGTCAAATTTTTTGTCTGTTTTCCCTAATTTTAGTGGATAAAAGTTGCCAAGCTACCAGTAATCCCAATATTAGAGAAGTTTCACCGACCGATTTCTATCTTCCACCGAGCTCGTCACAATGAAGGCACCAGAGGTCGGCATTTTAGGTCGCCCTCACTCACCCTCACCCTCACAGCCACACTCACCTAAGCCCCTCACTCACCCTCACCCTCACAGCTACACTCACCTTCAGCCCCTCACTCATCCTCACCCTCACAGTCACACTCACCTTCAGCCCTTCACTCACCCTCACTGAACCTCACGGCCCTCACGCCCCTCACTCACTCATGGCCCTCACGCCACTCACCGCCCTCACGCCACTCACCGCCCTCACGGCCCTCACCGCCCTCACGGCCCTCACCGCCCTCACGGCCCTCACGCACTCATAGCCCTCACGGCCCTCACCGCCCTCACGGCCCTCACGCACTCATAGCCCTCACGCCACTCACCGCCCTCACGGCCCTCACGCCACTCACCGCCCTCACGCCACTCACCGCCCTCACGCCCCTCACCGCCCTTGCGGCCTTCACACCCTTCACGCACTCATGGCCCTCACGCCACTCAGGCCAGCTTCAGACGGGGCAATTTCACCCAGAAACTTTACGTCGCAACACCAGCAACACGGGCCGTCCGCGATCACACGCAGCAACCAATTGCTGCAATTTGCCATCGTCATCATAAAATTTTATTTTTCTTGCACTATTTAGACACAATTACGCGTTATAAACGTGTTTTTATGCATTTAAATCTCGTTAAGAATACTAATGCACCTTTCTGAAACAGTTTATTTCCACAAAAAAAACGATCGATTTAAAACCAGAACCAATTCTTTCGGTGTCATCATCACCGGCACGAGGTATCACGTGAAAATTTTGCGTCCCTGATTGGATGCAGCCGCTTCAAACGTATTCAAATTGCTCCGAGTTGCTTGCTTATTTCGAGCCTAACCCGATCTCAGTAATTCGTGTCGATCTAGGGAAAGCTAGAGAACAACCCGCCATTAACACCAAAATTGCTGAGAAAGATGCTCGATCTGAAGGGCGCCTCACGCACTCACCGCCCTAACGCACTCATGGCCCTCACACCCGTCACGCACTCACCGCCCTCACACCACTCACGCACTCATGGCCCTCGCGCCACTCTCCGCCTTCACGCCTCTCACGCACTCATGGCCCTCATACCCCTCACCGCCCTCACCGCCCTCACGGCCCTCACGGCCCTCACGGCCCTCACAGCCCTCACGGCCCTCACCGCCCTCACAGCACTCACGGCCCTCACCGCCCTCACCGCCCTCACCGCCCTCACGGCCCTCACAGCCCTCACCGCCCTCACAGCCCTCACGGCCCTCACCGCCCTCACAGCCCTCACGGCCCTCACCGCCCTCACAGCCCTCACGGCCCTCACTCACCCTCACACTCATGAATTTTCCTGGTTCAGAAACTCACTCACCCTCACCTCACCTGTGAAGATGAGGGTGAGTGAGGGTGAGTGAGGGCCCTCATGAGTGAGGTTTGCCGAGGTATGGAAGGCACCACTACTGTGCATGCACGCCACTAGCTTTGTCTGCAAAGTTAAGGATCTTGTCGCAGGTTACAGAGTGCAACACAACGGTGGAAACAACCTACAGAGACTCTTTTGTGTCAGCAAGAAATCAGTCTGTAGCACCAATTTGAACTACATCTATTTCTCGCAAAACACAAAAATTAGTATTTTCTTGAAATGATACAGCGCACTTTGAAAAAAAAAATTTGATTAGACTTTTCATAGATCGCTTCTGTCATCCCGCAATGCTCTTCACAACCCACAGAGACATCCGGAACTCTGCAGACCAGGCTAGCAGAGTGCATGCACATTAGCAGCATCCTCGTTGCAACGAGCGTTGCAGGACAGTGGAAACTATCAATGAAAAGTCCCGAGAACACTGGAACTTCTTTACGGATAAAACTGTGCCTCTGCTCTGACTAAAAACTATCATAATAAGCTTGTCAATCTTGGAAAGCATGCAAACCATAACAGAGACAAGAAAAAATGGAATACAGAGAAAGCTGGCGAAAGAAGTTAGCTCTGAGCTAAGGCAATATCACCGTGATACGCAAAGTTTAAAGAAGCTACGGTAAATTAGTTGGCTCTTCGATCGCACTTGATTTACGCTAGACGCCCGATATAATCCAAAGCAATAGGGATCTAGTAAACATACAGCTTTAAGCTTTATCAACAAAACAGTGCTTGGTAGGATGATCAAACATGCACACCGTTTCACAAAAATATAAAAACACAACTGTTGCTGACAAAGCAATCCCACAGAGAGTGCACTCAGAAAACAAAAACCATGTGCGAACGCCACTTTTCTACTAAGTCGTGCCTACCTTCTTACTACACGCGCACAGAACAAAAAAATGGCTTGCACCAATTTATATTTAGTGCTGCCACAATATGTTTAGTGTGCACAATGGAAGGCCACTGAACTGGACCTGGTTAGGGCAGAGTTTAGTTTACAGTACAAATTTGTCACCGGGTTGCTGGGTCAATTGAGTGACTGGGTAGACCAGTTGCCATTGTCGTCAACCAGACAGGCTCCCTCTCGACTGGGTTGCCAGTCCAGATAGCCAATTCCTTCGTAAAACAATTCGTCTGCAGATTCACAAGCTCTCTTCGTCGCAGTGTATAAAGAATTTAGCCTTCAAATGCAGCAAGGGACAGGTGTCTGGAAATTTGTTAAGATTACACAACTGGCACAAGTGGACAACCACCGTAAAATGGCGCGTGAAGAGCCTGGCACTCTTAAGATGCAAGTTACAAACACCACCTATACATAAACTTCAATGTCTGCTGTTGCCCCTTCCATATCTCACCAAGAAGCCAAGCCACTGGAAGTGGCAATGACAAATTTACACAAAGATTGCACAAGCGACGAGCATACAGCGATAGAGAGGAGGTAAACCCCTACGTGACCACAGACAGGAGTAGTGACCAAAATTAAATGAAACAAAGCGTAGGGGCAGTTATAGTGACATCAATGTCCAAGTGCCTAAAAGCACTTACAGCAGCAATTTCTTCGATTTAGGCGGAACACATGAGCATCAATTTATGTTGTGCGTCACGCGAGTGTCAAGGCCCGTTCACACACTTTGGTTTGCTTAGGACACCTTTGGACCAAGCTCTAGCAATGTCTTACGATGAGAAAAAAACACTGGCATGCCGGCGCCATCTATGAGGTAAACCTGAAACTGCATTTCACTACAACGAAGGTTCTGCAATATTCGCGAGATCAAATGTATGTACCGTGTATGAGAAACGGTTGTTTATAGCATTGTCAAGAGTTTTTCGAGCCAAGAAAGAAAGAATGATACTCAACAAAAATGGGCAATATACAGAAACTGAGTGTTCCACCTGATAAATAATGCCAGTATGCTCTTTCGGCTTATCTTTAGGGGGTTTGAGGGCAGACGCTCATAAGTTGTAGCAAGCATGCGAAACAGCCTTCATCATGATTGCAGCACATCTAACTTGCTTATATCAGTTGCCCATCAAAAAGTTACCCACGTAATCAGCACAAGACAACTAGCTCCGTTGCCGCCAGGATAATGCTTACATGGTAAAAACTCATACTCTCATTTTTCATTTGGATTCAGTCAAAGACCTGTGCTTCGAATATTGCAATTGCCAAATTCACGAGACAAGTACAGCTGTGATACTGCCTCAACATCCGCACAAAGCTGCAATTCTGCAGCTTTTTCTCCTGCCTCCATCGCCCATTTTGTATTATGGGAGTAAATGAATTGAATTGAATTGAACTGTAGAGCCACTATCGTTACTCACACCATGTTCCACAACTTTCTCCGGGAATTTCCGCAGGAGCAGAAGCATCAGACGGCAATGCTCAGCAGTGTCCATGCAATGCTCTGTAAGAATATTGTGCAGTCAGAGGAAACACAAAACGCTTCAATGGCCCAAGCAGCCAGTTTGAGAGGGCCCCATAGGGTGGAGCACTCACTTCGGTGCCATAGCAGTAAATCAAAAGGGACCGGTCTATACTTGAGCTGGATGTTTACCACCTTTGCCAATGTGCCGCATAAAGGGCAGTGTCTCATAGGCGGGGTTCCGTGTTTTCAGATAAATCCGAAAAACTCAGAAAAACTTTGAAAAACACCCGCCGGTAAAATTTTGGTCAATTCAAATTTCTCCGACAAACTACGAATTTTGATGTGCCATGCCCGCCCCGCCCCGCCCCCGCCCCCAATGACAAAAAAAAAAAAAGAACCTAAATAGAGACGGTATTATTTTACAATTAAGTTTGTTCAGCACACAGGGTCAATGGTCCCGGGAAAATACCACCACAGTCATTTTTCAAATCTCGGGTCATTGACAAAAAGGTTCTTAGCCCTTATCTCGTCAAGGTTCAAGACGAGATGTCGTCGTACTTTGGGGTCACGACAAAAGCCTCTGTATTAGTTTCCAGTATGGGCCATACTCTTTGTGTTTAAGGGTAATGAGGGGTAGTGTTTTTGTGACAGTGAAAGCTATGAACCCTACTGATTGCATAAAACTGGGTTGAAACTTCCCTATTATATCATTTACCACTCCCCCTCGCACGACTGCGGGGTAGCATGGATTAGGACGGGATGAATACGTGCTTCCCAGTGAATACCTCCAGGAGTTTATTTTTAAGATATCGACGTTTATCGAAGCCATACGTAGAGGCAATACTAATTTGCCGTGGGACAAATTAGTATTGCCAATGGCAATGGCACCAACACCAAATCCAGCCAAAGAAATATTAATTAATATAAGCGCGTTTCATTTTTCTTTCTCTAGCCTATGTTTAGACCCGGATGTTATATATTAATTCTTTTATAGGAAACACTGCAAAATTAAGCTCCAAATTACAGAGATTTTGGAATTAGACAAGAACTCCAATAAACTCCAAATTTTCGGAAAAAAATAAACTCCAAAAAATAAACTTAGAAAATATGGAATCCTACTCATAGGACACCAGCACACCTCTGGCAGCATGCCTCGTGAAAGTTCTTCATAATGCCTCAGACCATGCAGTGCTGACATAAGCTTGTCTTTCTTGGAAGGAGTATCTTAAATAATGGCATTTGTAAAAAAAGGTTCAGTACTGTTTGGAAACTATATTTCACTTTCAAAAGAGTCCTGCTAAAATCTTTTACTACTTCTTTTCTGCAATGATGCACGCTGCACCTGCAGCAGGCAAGTTGTGAAGTAAAGTTTGAGCCACGCAACTCCGGTACAAGATATACAGTTAAATCTCGTTAATTCATACTAGAGGGGGACCGAAAATTTGTTTGAATAAAGCAAAGTTTGAATTACCGGGAGTTTCCTCACATAGAGACACATAGAATGAGACCTGCATGTTAGTTTCAATTATCCCCAAGTTTGAATTAAAAGAGTTTGAATTAACAAGATTCGACTGTATTATGCTCATGAGAAAGAAGCATTTTGCAACACAGACATGACAAATAGTGGTAAAAGAATGTAGCTGATGGCACTAATGGCTGCCATGTAGACAACAAAAACCAGAAGCAATTAAAAGCATAATGAAACAATGTGCCACCTGGGCTGGTTCCTTGTTCATTCTGCATTTAGTTAACGTGCTCACCAGTAGCATTGTTCAACAAGCTTCAACTGCTCACAAACAAACAGATCTAGGACACAGGTAATTGGCTAGTTGCGTCCTGTACTTCTTGCTCACCTGCTTTGCAACTACATCAGCCACAAGAATTTTCTTCCTTTATTATAACTCTGGGGTGGCTCTTACAACCATCTTTATGATGTGTTGCTAGTATGGTGCAAAAAAACAGTTCCCATGAAAATTCTGCAGCAGCCAAAAATGACTGCCAGCTCCCCTTTAAGGCATACTCTGTATTTCTTTCTCAGCAACATCTGCAGCACAAACAACATCTCTTAAATCTGTTTTATAAAAACAATTTCTCAATACTTTCACTAATATTTCATGGCTAATGCTCGCTCAGAACGTGCAACAGAAAACATACTTGCTTACTTTTCTGACTAGAGCCTATAGAACTGTATTTTTTTAAAAGCTCATCATTAACATCCTGCAGAATATCTATTTCTGTCCCCCTATATGGGTCTGGAACTCGGACAAAATGCCAATGTACTTTTATATGACACTGCATGATGTTGACAATACAGGAACCAGAACAGTCAGCATGAAAGGAGCTAACCACAAATGAAACTGCTTCACGATCATCCTCAGATATGTGACAAATGCCAGTCCAAGATATCTCCCAGTACTGAGTACAATTCAGATTTTCATTGTTACACCATAATGAATAGGAAATGATCAGAATAGTTTTTGCATCATATAACATGTTTGCACACTTATACCATTTATTTCTTTAAAATGTCCCTTTCCTTATCACTGTCAAAATATAAACTGTCTAAAAAAAAAAAATCTGAGTATGAAACAAAAAGAGACATGCAGGAACAATCAGGTATATGTAGTAAGAAAAAGAAAATAGTTTTTCTCTTGTTTTATGCTAAACAAAGAGGGAATATGTACCTGCTACTGAAAGTAAGATGTCATGCTGTGAGGCTGTTGGTAGATGGGAAAACATGTCTGAAAAACAAAAGATAAAAAAGTCATTTATAATTTTATTCAGCCCTTGAACCAGTGGCATATGCAAGGGGGTGGGTTGAAAAGTCAACCCCCCCCAAAAATCATTACTTTTTTTTTGTCTGTACCCATGATTGTACAGTACATCGACTACAACATGCGAAAGTGGGACAACACCCCCCCTTTGAATATAATCACTGGCTACACCACTGCTCTTAGCCCTCTCTGACAGGTAGTTATACTATGAGCATGACATACTGTAATATCCTGTATGACTAGGTTGACCAGACATTCTGTTTTAGAGGTTCATTTTTCATTGCCACGTCGTTCTGACTCGAAAAGGCCTCATGTGCTGTTTTCCTGCGAGCGTGCAGTTGAGAAATCAGTACTAAGCAATAGAAGAAAACCAAAAGAATGCTTATTCCCTAGAGATGTAATTTTATAAAACGAAAAGTGCTATTAAAATGTTACCTCCCATACACCCACAATTTTGAGCAGTTTCCCTCGTTACATCTGCCAATAAATCTGCAAGATTTTTCTTGTAGTCCTACTGGATTTGACATCTTAGTTTGGCAACAATGAAACAGTGATGAACATCACTTGTCAGAAATCGGAACAATATTCTATGCTCAAACGACTAGTAGCAGTTTCTTTTTTCTTTTTAGCAACCCCTTAAACTTGAGTGCTCTGTTTTCTACTTCAAGGATTATGGTCACCCTATGTATGATGCTCTCCCCCAAGAGATCGCCGATCCAATCTTTTTGGTTAAATATACTTAACATAAAAATTCAAATACATCCCCCTCCCCCCTTCCTGCTGGACTTCATGCGATGTCTGACAGCAATCATATCAACTGCATGATCTGTGGTACCTGTACATGCAACAAGCAACTGCGTAGCAGGTTCCCATATGTTTATCACCCTGTGACCCACAAATCTGCTGTGCTTGTGATCTATGATATCCGTTTTCGTGACATGCAGGCTTGTAGCGGGTATGGGACAGCATGAAACGTGAATCTGCTGCTTCCGTGATCTGAAGTATCAGTTCCTGTGTCATGTGGTTTGTAGCAGGTTCCCTAGTGTTTATAACTAGGGTGTGCATTTTCCGGTTTTAATTGAAAGACACCGATAAACATCCGTCGGTGACGAAAATATAAAATCGGTTAAAACCGAAAAACACCGGTGGTTGAATATTTTCGCCCTGGTTAAAATCGAAAAACACCGGTCGTTGCTAGTTTCTGACCTAGCGAAACCCTTTCCCCGTAGAGGTTCGTCAAACGTGTTATCTCGTGGATCCTCCATTCTTCCAGTGTTTATATACACCAACTCATGTTTACAAACAAACCGGAGCGCCCCTAGCGGACGCCACCGGCGCCGCGCATGCGCGGTGGATGGTGGGCAAGAAGCCCGCCGTCGCCCATAAACAAACCATTGAATTGCGTTGTTGTCGGCGTCGGTGGGAGACCCCGTGCTCTTTTTCGCGTTGGAATTGTTAATTCTACGTCCTCCTAACAATGTCTGACTACTTGAGCGGCTTCAGCAAAACTAACGAGGCAAAACTTTGCGTCAATAATGTGACGTGCGGCGATTCATTTCACGTGGACGCCGCAGAATGGGCGCTAAAGCCTGACTCCCATGATGAGATTCTGCTCGCTATTTTCAGTCGCGAAGTCACTCGGACTGCAAAAGCGTGGACCGTAGCTGAGATGGTGGACGTCGATACTGAAAACCGCAAGTAGAATCGGGCATTACAAGTCGGAGATGGCCACTGGTAACAATAATGATCAACATCTTCTTGTATCTGTTTAGACTACTTACTCCAACCAACCTTCAAAAGTGTTTTGAGGCCTGCACTTAATTCTTATCGCAATTACCGGGTCAACGTCTGGTTTACGGGCCGCTGTCGTTTGAACGAGCTGACGACAGAAAGCAGCCAAGTTTGAAAGAGCAGACGACAGTTCGAACGCATGCGCAATGGAGTACGGGCACGAAGCACCGCGTCTCGCGTCAACAAACCATTCGAATGTCATGTTGTCGGCGTCTGTGTGAGTCTGCATACTCTTTTTCGCGTTGGAATTGTCGATTCTACGTCCTCATCGCAATGTCTTGTCACTTTAATCGCCTGAGCGAAATTATCAAGGCTCGTTACGCCGCTACACTTTCCGTAAATAATTTGATGTGCGGCGATTCATTCGCATGAAAGCCGCAGAATGGACGCCAAAACCATGATGAGATTCTTCTAGCTATTTTCGATCGCAACGTCGCTCGTGCTGCAAAAGTGTAGAAGGTAGCGGCGAGGATCGACGTCGATACTGAAAATTGTAAGCGGGAACAGACCAAGCGTAACAAGTCGGTGATGCCACCGGTACCAATGATCAACATCTTGTGTCTACTGTTTATACCGAGCCTACTTAACTCTTTGGAGGCCTGCAATTACTTCTTATTGCAATCACCGAGTCAAAGTTTGGTCTACGGGCCGCTTTTATTTGAACGAGCAGACGACAAAAGCAGACAAGTTTGAAAGAGCAAACGAAAGTTCGAACGATTAGGCGGCTGTGTGAATTTGAAGACGCACTGAACCCGTGGGTGGTCCGGACAACTTGGGGGTTTTATCTCGTTCATGTTGGAACAAAGCAAATACATCTGGCGACCACAAAGTGTTGCCCGCACACGCAATCGTAGTTCGACAGCGTCTGGTTTGCCCTTTTCAAGGCTACTATCCACGTTCTCGGACGAACGGAGGGGGCAAAAACACATGAAAACTGATCTTCAAACCTTTCCAGACTCTCTTGGTACAGCCCCCATCGCAGTATTTTTACAAAAAGGCAGGATTTTTGTCTCGTTTCTTCCAAAGGAACACAGGAATGCATGTCTGGCACGGCGACTTCTGCCCACCGCCCCAGACCGGAAGTGTGTCCGGCGCGCCACCACCGCGGCGTGACGTAGGAGAGTTGAGTTGGTGTATATGGCTTTCAGATGGCGTCAGTCCGCCCTCCTTTCGGGGGGTCAAAAGCGTCTAGTGAACGCAGTGGAAGCTAAGCTCTCATACGCTTTTCCCCATAGTGTCTCCCATGGCCCCCTTTTGTGGAAAAATTAGCACAGTGGAGGGTAGGCTCTCACGTGCCTTTTCCTCATTGTGTCTGGCCAAGTGATGTCGGTGCAAGCCATGTATTAAGAGGTTGCTGTGGTTCCTGGAAGACACTGCCAACGTCCGTGTCGTACAGGAGCGTGCGTTTTCATAATTGCGGGTTGCGAACCGCAAGGAACGTGCTGCCATGACGGCAGCACGTTGCTTGCGTGTAGATGCAAGCATAAAAGTATGCTTGCATCTACTATAATAACCAAGTGTGAGAAATAGTTGCTTCTTAGAGAAGAAGTGTATGAACTATGTGAATAAAATTGGAACTCTCTGTCTGTGATCAATCGCTTTTTTTCGCCGATATTCACCGATTTTAGCCTCGTCGTGAGACGTTCCACCGAAATACACCGGTGTTTTGAAAATAAATAAACACCGAAAAACATCCGCCGATTTTTCTCACAAATAAACACCGGAAAGTACACACCCTATTTATAACTCATTTTTAATAAAATTTTGCTGTTGCATTTCCAAAAATTGCCCATCCCATACTTTTTACCACTTAACTCATTTTGGGTGGGCATTCTACGGGATTTAAAGTATACCCATCATTCACAGATGACAAACGTTCCCTTTCCTCGTCTTCTCATGTACCGTGATAAGACACGGTACATGAGTACCGTGTCTGCCTTATGACTTTACGTTCATAATTATCTTACATTTCTTGCATCTACAGAATATAGAAAAAAGTTGCTGACAGCACCAGTCTGCTCTTTACACAATTTGCTTCCATTTGTTTAAGAGTTAATACTAAAAGAGTTTGCAAGAGAAGTGAGCAGCATCTTGTACTACATAAATAAACATACAGCAGAGAGGCAACCCTATTTAAATGTAATGCTAGGGGCTAGGGTAAGGTGAAAAGGTTTCAGAACCTAACATTATCCCATTAAACAGTAAGAGTTGAGCTTTTGATAACTTCAATGTAGAAATAGATTGGCAATCATTCTGATGCTCTTCAAGGGATCTATTTTAGGGCTTTTCTTATCAAATTTGACTGCTTTCATGGCTTTTTTTAGATTAATTTGGTTGATTAAAATGGTAAAAAGGTAGTTAAATATAACTAAACGCTTTTCTGTTTGTATCTCAAAAAGGCATTTCAGACAGACCTCTCAAGAAAACACCTTCTGCATCGAGCGAGTCTGCTCGAAGAGCGTTAGCAATCTTGTAGACTTCTTCCCAGAGGCGATGTTCAGTGAGGAACTTTCTGAACCTGGAAGACCGAAAAACGCCAGGTGATGTTGACAGCTAGAGAGCAAGTCTTGAAGAACCCCAGAGACTTACATATCCTCAAGGTAGCTCGAAGCCTCCTTAATGTTCGAATTGTCCTTGGCCAAGCAATATGCTTCATACTGCAGGGATACAAAATACACGAGCCAGTTCATTACGCAGTCGAAGTTAGTTTTGAAAACAGATAAACAAGTTAAAGGCCTTTCCATTATGAATTTAACTCGAAACTGGAGGAGGAGAAAAACGTTTTACAACGGTAGAAAAAGAAACAGGGCTCTAAAAGTGTAATACCACCGTAATATATTTTTTTCTCCGGCATCAGTTCGCCTGCGCACTGCCTGCATATTCGGGAAAGGCCTTAGAAGTAATGATTGGGACCCGTATGGTTTCTATTTAAGCAGGTTTTCTGTTACCTTTTTGCTGTTAGTGCACTGAGTAGCTCAATCGTGAACTCTGGGAAGTTTGTGTTTTGAGCGAACATCGCACCGCCGCCTCGGTGGCTCCGATATGCTCCGAGGCAAAGCGCCGGCTTACGGACGTGCAACCGAGCTTTAAGTTGCACGTCCAAAGATCCCCAGGTGGTCCAAATTAATCCTCAGTCCTCCGCTGAGGCGTGCCAGATGCCCGCCGTTGGTTTGGAACGTAAAACCCCCAAATTTGATTCGATCGCACCGCAGCAGTATCAACTACAAATGACTTAAGGGCATACATCAAAATTTGTATGAAAATTATAAAACTGATCGCGAAACAGCACCTTCTCTGATGTTCGGGTCCTAGCTTACGGTGAGAGAAATCAAAGATTTGCTCGCAAAGTTCAATCAAATTGAGCGCAACAGGGGCCGACCGGCCGATGATATACGGGAGAAGACATACTTGGATTCCGAAATTGTCTGGAAACAACATCTTTGCCGTTAAAATCCAAGACTTTGTAAAATACGGATCATGCTTCTGACAATTTCTTGCCATAGATATGAGATATTCTTCGTCTGTTTCGCTTTCCTTCATCGCGTTGCCGGGAGCCATGACAGCTCGGGCAGTCATGGTTAGCAACAGGTTAGCATCAAAGTGGCAATGTTTCGCCAAACAAGAGAAATACTCATCAAACTAAAACAACATATTTATTAAAATGTGTACATGTTTATGAATAAGTAAGCACTATATAAATTTAATTCAAATGTTATTGTCCATTTGCCACATTATAAAAGTAAAAAGAAAAAAAACGCCGGAATTAAAATACGGAACTACGGATAACAAATTGTGCAAGAAACTGAATGAGGAAGTCAATGGCCGTCGGTAAGATTGGTTTGCAGTTTGTCGTCAGTTCAACGTTATTTTTAAGGGTCTAACTAGGCACTAGAGGTGCCAATTTATTTTAAATCATATACCGTAAGCATTTATATTTTACGCTACCTCTACATTATGTTGCTGATGGTCGTAGCTATACTGATAACAAGTTATAATGCACACGACGCAGATAGCGATTGTGTCGAGCGTTTGTACTCCCTGATACTACGGTCTTCCGCAGTACAACAGCACAAGACCTATCATGCTTAACTTTAGCGCATTGAACTGTTGGCTGACCCTGCCCGCGACTAACCGCGACCGCGTTATCAGTGTGCAGGGCGAATCATAGTGTTGTGTCTACTGGAGATCGTTGTATTACGATTGAGTGGCAGACACCGACGCTTGCACCACCGTCTCGCCTCGCAGTGTCTTCAGCGTGGGAAATCGTGACCGGCCTCTCCTTGAGCTGATAGCGACCGGTACTGTCCAGCGTTGGAACAAAACCTCTGGGAGCCCACCTCCGGGTATTAATGTATTTTGCATTCCTGCCGAGCGAGAAGTTGGCAGCGTACCATGAAGGACGAGGTGGAAGCAGCGGTGGCGTTTCTCATCCGTGTCGTCGGTAAGAACTCCCGGCTTGAGCCCGGCCAGCTGGATGCCCTGCGAGCGCGTCTCGAAGCCGTCCTCACGGATCGGTTCCGGGAGCACTGGTTCCCGGAGCGGCCGTCTCGGGGCCAGGCCTACCGGTGCATCCGAATCAACGAGGCGAGGGAGCCCGTGCTCGAGCAGGCGTCGCGCCAGTGCGGCCTCAGCTACGAGGAACTGTGCCTTCCGGCGGAACTCACGCTCTGGGTCGACCCGGACGAAGTGTGCTGCAGGTAAGGGAAACCGCACCTCATGCTAGACCACACACAAAGATGTGCCAGTGGAGACATAGGCAGAACATACGAACTACCTCCTCGGTTGAGGAACCCTACTGCTTAGTTCACCGACAATACATGGGCAAGACGTAAGCTACCGACCCTGCTGAGGTGCCCTAGTGCTCAAATCACCAGATGAGACATAGGCTAGACATGGGCTACCTACCCTGCTGAGGTACACAGTTGTTCAATTCTCCAGATGACATGTAGACAAAACATGAGCTACTTAAGGTCTATTCACACGATGCATCTTGTTGGCGAATCTTGTGTCGCGAAACTAGGTTTCGGGAAACAGATTCCCCGTCTGAACGCGACCGAAAGAGTGGCGCGCCTCCGAAAAAAGTGGCGCGTCTTCCTCGCTTCTGGAGCAATTTTTCGCTGAAACCTCACCGAGGCCTGTCAATCACCCGACGAAGAAACGCGGGCGCTGCCAATGGCCGCTCGACTTTGCTATGACGTCTGACTTTCGAGGAGGAGCGAGCTTTTGGAGGAGTCTGATTTTCGGCCGATTCCGTATCCGAGCCAAAGCCGAGAGAAAGTAAACAAACATGGCGAGCGACAAGCGGAGTTGCGGTGCGTACGGGCGACGTCCTACTCGGTATCAGGTGTGTGAACGGCGCCTACAGTACGGGTTGGTGGCGCGGTACAGATTCATCGATAGTCGCGACGAGTGCAAGCACCGGATATAAACCTAGTGACTGGGAATAACTTTCTTTATTAGCGGTGCGAAAATGTCCGAAATGCTTCGAGATCATCTGCCTGTTCTTTGACGTTCGCGGTCTTTCCCGGGTTTGGCAGGACTAGTAAACCCAGTGAGCCGAATCTGACGAAGTTCATTGAGTGGTATTAATAAAACAGACTGTCTCTTCACACTGTGCGTACTTCATATCATTTTGATGAGAAACGCTTGGTATTCCCGGTGCAGATGGCAAGGTTTGGCGAAACTCTCGTGAGTCAATACGTCACAGGTTTCGCGCGTCAAACTTTACGTCTGAACAGGCCGATTTCGCGAAATCTTGGTTTCGCTAAACTGTGGCGCGTTGAAAAGATGCATCGTGTGAATAAGCCTTTACTCTGCTGAAAAACGCAATTGCTCAATTCACCAGATGAGACGTAGACAAAGCATAGGCTACTTACCCTGCTGAGGAACTTAATTGTTAAATTCACCAAATGAGACATAGGCAAAACATAAGCTACCTCTTGGCTGAGGAACCCAATTGTTAAATTCACGAGATGAGACGTTGGCAATACATAAGCTACCTCTTGGCTGAGGAACCCAATTGTTAAATTCACGAGATGAGACATTGGCAAAACATAAGCTACCTACCCTGCTGAGGAACCCAACTTTTCAATTCACCACATAAGACATTGGCAAAACATGGGCTATCTACCCTGCTGAGAAACCCAATTGTTCAATTCACCAGTTGAGCCAGGCAAAAACATGTGCTACCTACTCTGTTGAGGAACCCTACTGCTTAATCCATCAGACGAGATAGGCAAAATGTGAGCTACCTACCTTGCTGAGGAACCAATTTGTTAAATTCACCAGATGAGACGTAGACAAAACATAAGGTACCTACCCTGCTGAGGAACCCAATTGTTCAATTCAACAGATGAGACACATACATAAACATCAGCTGCCTACCCTGCTCAAGAACCCTATTGCTTAATTTGCCATTCAATTCACCAGAAGAGAGGCAACATGTTAGCTACCTACCCTGCTGAGGAAACCACTTGCTCAATTCACCAGATAAGAGAGACAAAACCATATGCTACCTACCCTGCTGAGGAACTCTATTGCTCAATTCAGCAGAAGAGACAGGCAAAATGTGAGCTGCCTACCCTGCTGAGGAATCTTATTGCTCAGTTCACCAGATGTGACATAGGCAAACATGAGCTACCTACCCTGCTATGGAATCCAATAGACCTGTTGCAAAATGTACAGCGCCACGACGGCAGGGAATTTTGGGAACCCTCGGTACAGATCACACGCTTTCTCGTTGCGACTGCGCGTGCGTCCCGACAGCTACCGTCAGCAGCTGTTGCAGCCATCCGCCCATCCGCTGAGTATTACGTCGTTGGCGGCGTATCGTATCTGTGGCAGCGTAAAGGCATTACGACAGGTGAACTTATTTGAATACGTTATTCGTCGTAACTTACCTTCACGTATTGAAGTGTCGCCGAATACATTTAGTTTGCACCGCAATCGTGGCAGGTTTTGACCAGGTTCGACAAAGCATTGGTGCAGCAGACGACAGAGCCAGTACAAAGGAGAGGGATGAGAAAGGTGCAGCCATTGGCTTGTCGCTCGTCTGTATGGGCTGCTAAAAAGTTGTTGCTGTGGTAACCTGTGCCTGTTCGCGTATGCCATGTTGTAGCGGGCAGAGGGGCGTACCGAGGACTCCCATTATTCGTTGCGCGGCGCGCACGGGCTTTTTGTAAAGGGTCTATTGTTCCATTCACCAAATGAGACATAGGCAAAATGTGAGCTTCATATTTTGCTGAGGAAACTTATTGTTCATTTCACCAGATGAGACATAGAGAGGATGACCATAAACCTCGCAGTAGAAAATGGCACACGGTAAAAGGCTTTGCCCTATACTGTTTAGTTCAATGTAAAAGCACATTTTTCCAGATTTCTTTATTAGGAATACAACTGCCTTTCTTCCCCCTTTTTAAACAGCAAGGAAGTAATGTCAACCAAAGGATGCCACATTCGGTCATATAGAAAACGTCTTCCCTAGAAATCTATGCAAACAAAACATATTTTCAGATGTAATCACAGAGAACTGAAAATTTTATATCTTATGGCAGTTATCATATTTATAATGTCAATAACAAGTAAAAAAAATTTGTTTCGTCCTCATAATTATGCATGTTTCCACGGAAACGGGACATGGGGCTTTATTGAGACAGGGTGACGGGACGGCAGAAATGGCTCCCTTAAACAGGTCTGCCCCGGCCAAAATGGGACGTCTAATCACCCTAGACATAGCCTTCTGTATACTGAAAACGCCTGACCAATCGCCAGTTGCCAGCTATTGCCACAAGGGTCACCGCTTCCCCATACAGGACAACCCATTAGATATACAGTGATTTAAAATCCCGATAGTAGAGCAATGCAAGTATTTGGGAATGTGATTGAATGAGAGCACACAGTACATCCAAGAACATGAAAAATATTTGAAAACTAAAGGCAACAGGGATGCATTAGTAATGAAGAAACAAGCATTATGGAATTTTAAGATATGAGGTAGCGAGAAGTATCTGGAGGGTGGTTATGGTGTCTGGTTTTAACATTTGGAAATGCTGTCTTGTGCATGATGCTGGAGGTGCAGTCAAGACTGGAGGTCAAACAGCGTGGCGTAGGCAGGATGGCACTAGAAGCCTGTAGAAAAACCCCTATTGAAGGCGTACAGGGAGTTATGGGTTGGTTGTTGTTCGAGGCAAGGGATGCAAATAGCAAACTGGAATTCAAGGAATGTTTGCGGGAAATGGATGAGGAGAGATGGGCGGGCAGAACATTTAGGTACCTATATATATGAGCAGCGTGGACACAAGGTGGAGAAAACGAACCCGACGGCTCGTGTCAAGGCACTGGTGTAACACCGAGGAAGATGGGCGGGCAGGAACAGTGAAGAATATTGTAAGGGAGAGGGAGAGAGAAATATTGGGGACAGGAGACAAGAATGCAGAAGAAGCCAGCTTCGGAAATGTCCAGAGAAGGAAAACTGATATTAGAAAGGAAGGAATATTCTACAATTCTACAGGTAGTGCATTATTGTTTGAGGCTAGGACGGAAGTTTTGAGAACCCGGATGTACAGGGCTAAATTTCATGAGCTGGATACAACATGCACGGTATATGGGAAACATGTCAAAAAGTCGGAGCATATCATATGGAATGTGGGGGGCTTGTCTACCCAAGGACATTACGCATTGAGGCTGACTTTTTTGGGGCTCTGGGATTTGAGGAGAATGGTGAAACAAACTGTCTTCAAGAGGTAGAAATTGGTAAAAGATTACAGGAATGGTGGCGAATATCAAGGGACCGATAGAATAAATTAGATTAAATTGACGTAGTCAAAATTCAACGTTGAACTAAAAACACTACTTGGCTACGTGGTGCAAGTCACCTTGCGATTCAAAGGGAATAGCCACCATCCATGCAGACAGAAAATCTGAACGACGTGAATAAGCCCCTCTTGTGCATTGTTGCATTCTTGGCAGTGTTTTTTGGCTTTTGTCGTGGTAGCTGTGGGCAAGAAGGTGCTGGGGCTGTCATTTCATGAGGCCCCAAGCAACACCCCGGACCATGGAAAGTGACTGAAGCTCATTTCAAGGAAAACTGCGTCCCAAATTCTATATCCTGCTACTCAACAGTATGCGGTAGGCACCTCTCCGCGATGGACATTAGGCTTCTCTGGTCCCGCTTCGTGCATCCTACCGAGGCTTCGGTCTAAGCCCAGCTTAGCTCGGGCCTCCCCGGCGTCAAGGCTAGATCAGCCCATGTACCCTTCCAGGTCCTCTTTCGGCGCAGCTTGACTCTTTCTGTGCTTACCTGCCCACATCTTTTTGGCACACTCTGAGGTAGTGACAGGCACAGTGCGTCTTTATCTAATGTGAGCCCCGCCACGGTTAACACCTTTGACACTGCTTAGGTGGCTTTGTGGTGGTTGCAACCCCGGAGGACCCTCGCTGTCGCAATTTTTCTTCACTTTCTGCTCTTCGCTTGGTTCTTAAAAAATAAAAAGTTTCAGTGTTTACTGTTTGGACATCAAGAAAGTTTACTGACTCGTCTGTCTGGTCTGTAATTTGTGATGGGTCATGTCTACCGTCCACTAGATTCACTTACTTTTGGAAACTACATATACGTTTGCTCTCACCCGCTATGAAATATGGGTCACAAAAGTATTGGAATCCTGTATGTTGCTCTAGGAGCCAGTGCGCAGCGGACAAGCATCGACCTCATAGGCCCGGACCAGGGCTGGGATATAGAAAACTCCATTTCCACAATAAAGTTTACTCTCTCTCTTCTCGTCTTCATTATATAGGAAGGTGTTCGCCTCGGCTGTGACTGCGTGAAGCCGGCGCAATGAAGCCAAAGCGTGGGGAAGCCAGACGTTGTGCAGGCATTATCAATATAAAGGAGGCTATGCTCTAGACATAGAGAAGAATGTACGAGCTACATACCCTACTGAGGAACCATATTCCTCAATTCACCGAATGAGACAAGCAAAACGCGAGCCACCTATGTTTTTCAGGAATTAGTTGTTCAGCCCGCAGTACCAAAGGTAGATGTTTATATTACGGTGCTGCACCGTTACACGACACAAAAATAGTTCTGTTGGGCACAGCTGGAGGGCATTACAGACACTAGGACACTAATTTCCTAGCTATATGTAGGGTGTGTATTTTCCACCGAAAAATCGGTGGATGTTTTAGTGTTTATTTATTTTTTAAACACCAGCGTAATTCGGTTGAACGACTCGTGACAAGGCTAAAAACTGTGATTATCGGTGAAAGAAATTAGGCTCTGTACACCCTTATTCAACGCGAATAAATGCTGTCACATGGAGAGTAATTAAGGTTAATTATTTTAAAGGAGCTTGACGGGCACGTCAAAGGTTGAAGATTGTTTTTTGGAGCCGCAACACTAACCTTAGTCTCAGAATCGTCAAAAAGATGCACAGCTTCATTTTGTTTCTTAGCTCGTTTTTGTTATTGAAATTTGAGAAAAGATGCACAGAATCCGCATTTTACTGTGGAAGTGGAAGGATTTTCAAGAGCACCTGCTACGGCTGCGAAGTGGACAAAACCTACACCCGTCATCCCCCTATTAAATAAGCGGAACAGTTCCAGCAAACGCAGGACGGGGACGTCAAACCGAACCCATAGCCCCGGAAACCCTTGAAAACTAAACAGATAACAATGACTAGAGCCCTGCACGGATAATAGTTTGAGTATCTGCATCCGAACCGCATCCGCAAACTTTTCTCATTATTGTATCCGATCCGCATCCGCATACTTTGTATCCGTATCCGAACCGCATCCACAAAATGTGGAACCATGTCTATGTTCTTGCTAACCACCAGAGGTTACGATTCCATTTAGACTAGCAAAATCAGTGGAAATCACGCCGACCGCGTTCTTCCCCGCCGCACGCGGAATCGGAAACTTTCACCTGTGGCCCCTTAACTCTCCCCTGAAGTCTGAACGCCTAAGAAAAAAAGTTTCGCAAAGAGAGGAGGAGAAGCAGTGGTAGGAAGACAAAATCCTTACTGTGATGTTACCGAGCGTATGCGGCCGCCTCGAGTCTCACAGTTGTTCGTGTCAGCGAGCAGGCAGATGCGCCGCTAAGTCAGAGTCCAAGGCCTGATCGAATCGACTAACGTGTTGTTAGAGAAAGATCGCGGCCTGCAGGCGCGATCTTATATATATATATTATATATATATATATATATAAAATGGAACATTTTTTTTTTTTTTTGCTTGGGGCGGCTACGTAGGTTTCGCGCGGAAGCCGCTGGCATTGCTGGTGCTCTGGCGTCGTAACCGGATGAATATGAATTACCATACTTTTTTTGGCTAGAACTCTAAGCATAGAAAAAGGAAACAGGCAATTTAAGGGTAAGGGCTGCCTGTGGGCGTGCGCCGCTGATTCTGAAACTTTGCAAGCCGTGGCGCCACAGGGTCGCGCTCGCTGTCGAAGCATTCTTTTGTTTTTGGTATCATGACCACACCACTCCCTGCGGAGAGGGGGAGGTTTCTTCTACTTTCTTGTGACTTGTTCGTTTGAGATTTTCTTTGCCCGAGAAAGTTTTCCGCTCTTTCCCTGACAAAGAACTAGCTTTCTCGGCATGATTGATGCCCTGCATTCTTTACTTTTACTTTTTCTATGCATAGCATTTTTGGCGAGATGAAATGCACTAACTGAAGGGATCTTCAGTAAGAATCAGATCTTTCTTATGGTCCCTATCGTTTCTTCGAAACGCGTTTTGTGGAAATACGTTTCGTGGACTACTTTTCACGGACATACATTTCACAGACACACGGTTCGTCGACGCTGTACATTTTGTGGGCACATGCCCCTGCGATGTTTTGTCGACAATGTATTTCTTCACCAAGCCGCTAAAAGCTAGCGCACAATTCACTAAGATGTGCTTAACCCCAAACCATGTCCCCCAACCCCCTGTAATCCAGGCGAGACGCAAAAAGTTTGTGACGAAAATAGCAGAATTGTGTGCAACGAAACGTTTCAGGTTTTTCGATGGAATGAACACGGGAAGCCTTTCAATGAAACGTCGCATGTCGGCGAAACGATCTGTAGATGAAACATCAGTCGACGGACTGAATGCCACCGGGCAAAAATTTAGATCCGGATCCGCGAATATCCGCATCCACAGCCCCTGACATCCGCATCCGATCCGCAATCCGCCAAAATCCATCTAATTTTTATCCGCATCCGCCAGTTCGCTGCGGATAATCCGCAGATATGCAGGGCTCTAACAATGACCGCATCTCCATTCCCCAGGCGAGGAGATGCGTTATCCAAGGTTGGGGCCCTGGACTGCACTGATGGTGCCAGTGTCTTCCAAGAACCAAATCAACCTCTAAATAGACACTGAAAGTATGGAGGATCCAAAAAATAACATGTTTGACAAACCTCTATGGGGGAGGAGTTTTGAAGAAAATGGCCGGCTATAGATCGAAAACATTCAGTGACCGGTGTTTTTCAGTTTTAACCGATTTTGTATTTTCGTTACCAGCGGATGTTTATCGGTGTTTTTCGGTTATAACCAAAAAGTGCACAGCCCAGTTATGTGGGACTGTTCGACCATGGTTTACCACACTTCGAAATGGGCAAATGCTCTTTGCCACACAATTGGCCTGAAGTGCCCACTCATTAGCTAGTTGCTATGTGCAGTTGACTCAAACCTACTTGAAAATGCCTGCATAATTGTGGTGTAGAAGCCAGTTATTTCAAGACAAGGGCAAATGATTCACCAATGTGGATCATTGACCAACATTCCCTGTAGGCCAAGACAGTGTCTACATTGTGGATTATCTATTCAAGCCAGTCCCTCGACCTTGTTGAGTTACGGCAATAGCGGATGGTTTTCTGCAGTCTGCGTTCTTTGCACAGGTTTGGAGAGCGGCAGAGCTCATACTGCATCTTGGCCTCGTTCAAGGGAGGGAAAAAGGAAAACTATGTGGACCAGATCAACATTGATGACTTGGAGCAGCGGTCTATGGAGCGATCAAAGCAGGTCAGCCAATTGTTGCCATTGTAAAGAGACTGTTTGCATTACATGCTGAACTTGTAATAAAAGATGGGCCGAAACAAGGGTAGCAGTTGCAGCTTCCTGTGGGAAGATCTGCGGGATTCCCATTGTCTCTTAGAATGCTCAGCACCAAGTTCTCTTGGTGCACTTGCTGGCTCCTTTTCCAGTAAATTGCCAGAGCAGGCAACTAAATTGAGGCCACAAAGGAAGAAATGTGAAATAGACATATTATAATGTCTTTTACAAAAACCAAGTGCAAAAATGTAATCAGCATGATGCAGCATGCAGTGACCATTTGCCAGTGGCTCTCCATACTGGATTTGAATATGTGCAGCAAATGCAGAGTAAGCCGTAAGAAAATTGTGAAATGCTTCAGCACTGCAAGCAGTGCTTAGGGCTTTGGGAATGCTAGTCCAGCTTTTTGTTTTCATTTGTTGCTCCGTCTCAGAAGCTTACTTTTATCCCGTGGCGCAGGCCTCCATGGACATGATGAGCGGCAGGAAGCGGGCGGTGGGGTCCCAGCGTGGCTGGGGCATGAAGTTCCCGTCATACTCCCCGTGCCTGAGTGGCAGCCCTCCTGGCGTCTTCTCGCAGCCCAAGTTCCTCTCGAGGGGGGGTACCCTGTGGAACCTCTCGGCCGCCCTTCCTCCCGGCCAGAAGCCCGACAAGTACCACTGGGTGAACAAGTCTGTGGTCAAGGCGTAACCCTTGCACAAGCACCTCACCCTTCCCTCTCTTGTGCTGCCCCATCTTCAACGTAGAAACCATAGAACGACGATCAACAAACACCTCATCCCTCTCTCTTCCTCTCCATTAGTGGCAAGGTACCATTCTCATCACTTACATTTTATTTAGAGGGGCCACACCTCCTGCATGTAGTTCAGTGCATGTTGCGTGCGGACGTGGGTATTTTAAAGTATTTAATGAAACAAACATGTTTCTTTTATGCATTCTTTGACCCATATATCTTTTGCAAAAGTGTGGTGTATGCGAGTCCAGTTTTCTGGTCAAACAAGATCCTCCTCTTTTTCTATTTTTTTTTTTTTTCAAATGGGTGCATTGCACAGTTAACATGATGGATGCATTCTCACACAACTCTTTACCACACTCGTGTTGGCTCTGGTGCTACATTTAAAATCGTATGTGGGAACAAGTTTATCAAAAAACAAATGAAGTGTAATTCCATTTTTTTTAGAAAACCACTCCTTGCTTCTCACTGCTCTCTTTTGGGAACAAAAGGTGCTCATGTATGCTTTGAAAGAAAAAAATATATGGGTCCACGGCTTTTATTTTACAAGCATTGGCGAATATTTACATTGTGTAAAAAAATTTTAGTTTGTGGTCCAATTCCAAGTTTTATTTCTGCCTTAGTGGGAGGGAGCTGTACTTTGGAGGACCACTTTGAAGCTTTTACTAGTTTCTTTCTGGATGATATTTTACACAAAACAGTACCAAAGTCTTGTGAATTTTGTGGGTGTGCCCCACTTCATTCTGCTTAAAGATTATTCGTTGCAAGTGGTGTTTTATGTGATTTTTCAATGTTTGTCTCTAAATTGCAGATCATTACTAAGGGAAAAGTTCAGAAATCTGCAGCTATAATGTAGTGGTCTTCTAAGAAAAGTTTAGTGTCCTTGAAGTTTGCTGGTTATTTACTGTGCTAATCTCCGTTTCTCAAATGTTTAGGGAGTTAGAAGCATACATACAGGACTCGCAAACTGCCACAATGGCTTGTTTTAAACTACCCTCGAGGTTTCTGTTTTCCATGGTCCTGACATTCAACCTAATACAGAGCACAAGTGACCTGATCAATTCTGTTGACTCACTGAATGCAGTCCCTCATATACAAGACTTGTATGCTTTTTGCACCAAGTCGTCTCAGGCACAGGATAGTGGTGAATATACAAAGACTCCACGAGCCTACATTTTGCAAATATCAATCAATGTTAAATGAAGGCATGCCAAATAAATCCCAAAGTGTGTCTAGGAATTAGGCTGAAGGTGAATGAGAAAGTAGAGACACTTGGAAATGAGTGCGGAGACGATAGATGCACAGTTGCTTGCATGACACCTCTTGTATCGTAGATGCAATTGAGGGAATTATTTTACTATAGTTCCCTCGAAATTTCTTATCTGTCTTATTTGTGGTTATATTTCCCTGTTTCTCTCAACTGCCGAAGCTAAAGCCTCGGTTGGGCGATGGTTGTTGTGCTGGGCCAATCGACTTGTTATGAACCTACCTTGCAAATTCATAGCTTTTGTTTTCAAAAGAACAACAAGCTACATTTCAGTTTTTTCGCTAGTCATCTTTATGCATCTTGAACCAACCTTTGTAGTTGCATGAGTTTTCTAGTGCAAAACAAGTACTTTTCGTGCTAAAAAAGGTAGTAGCATCAATTCTTAAAAGTTATACGTATCACTTTTTCTACAGAATTCTACTGCATCTAAACAATGTCCAAAACAAATGAGGAGAAAGTTTACAACTCAGCATAAACTGGCCTCTTCATATTTGTTAATCTCCACCTTGGTAAATTATCAGTCTAGTAGACAAATATAATGCACTGATCTTCTCAAAGATGGCCATTTGCTCTTAGTAAAATGAACCTGGTGTAAAATTCCCTTGGAGTTGCACAAAAAGTAGTATTTTTATGGTGAAAAGTGTCTCATGCTAAAGAGGTGCTCGAGTTGTCACCTTTTGAGGTTGCCATCTGGTGAGACAAATGCCCATGAAAACTGAAATATGATGCATTTGGTAGTGCCTCCGATGTAGTAATCAGGGCATCACCAGTTCGGTAGAGCCTAGCAGGCCTTTACACCATCCAAAAACTCCAGAAGTTCAAACAATAGCATGACCTGTCTGATCACCAACTGTGTTTACATTCAGTGTACCAGTGAAGCATTCATACGAAGGGTATGTTCTAAATCATACTAGAAGGCTTCTTGTGCCACCAGTGTTGCATTCATGTATATTTAATTGCCATGCCAAATAACATATGCTCGCCCTCTGTTTTAATTAATGCCTTTCAATTTCTTGGTGATGTATTGACTAGTATTCTGTGATGTACCAATGTCTACTTACTTTTGTTTTCATTAGTAATAAAAATCTTGTTAAGCCTTTGCCACTGCATTTCTTATACTCCTCCTTTCACCCTTGGTGAACCGAAATTTCGATTTAAAAAAAACAATGCAGGAGATGTAAGCAAGACGCTGCAATCCCTACAACGCTACTCGAAAGGCGATATCTCGAATGGACGGCCGTATTTTTGGAAAAAGTGGTTGAGATTGATTGAGGCGTGCGACGTAAAGATATATCTCGTTTCCTCCTCTCTTTACTTCGCCCCCTCAAGGGGGCGAGGCGGAGAAGACGTGAGGCCGTTCCCTCTTTTTCTCGGAGAAACAAGACGTAAAGAAATCTGTCAGATGCGCCTCCTTTTTTTGAAAAATACGGTCATCCGTTTGATATCGCTCTATAAGTGATGTTTTGGTGTTTCTAGCATCCCGCTGCACGCTTTTGCCTCAGTGTTTTGTGGAATCCAGATTTCGGTTCAGCATCCCTTTAAAGGTGCAATGCGACGATTTTAACGCTGAAAGAATTTGTAGTTGCTACATTCTATAGCCTATCCAGGCACGAGTGAGAAAAGAACATGCCCCCTCCCCCCAGAAAAATTGCTATTCTGCTGCATAATTGCAAAGTAAAAATACAAACTATTTCCTGATCTGCAGCCGCGTGTGGCGGTTACGGAAAACTACAGTGGCGTGTGACTGGGGTACCGCGGAAGTCAATGAAACCTGTCCCCATCCGCTGGTACACCCGCCGGCAGCCCCGTGGCAAGCAGTCTCTTGTGTCGTCGTGACCTCCTGCGATGCTAATCCTTGAAAAGTCCACATTTGCGGAGGGAGCGGCTGGGGGCTCTGAAGACTTAACCCAATAGGAAACCAGGTGGTCCCCCAGAGACGTCATTCGAAAGAGCGCGAGAGTTTAGGGGCCCTTTGACCTTCAATTTGTTTAATTTTTGATAAAAATAAAAACTGGCATGCAGAAAAAAAGATGGTTTTCTGTTCTCCGTTTTACAAGTAACACAGGTTGATTCCTCCAGTTAATTGGCCAATGTCCGAAAATCGTTGTACTGCCCCTTTAGGTTGAGACTGCAGCCGATGCCGCAAGCTCTACAGCATGAGATCACTGCTTTGAAACATACTTCAGCAGAGCGAGCCCACTCGCTATAAAGGCACGTCCCACAACCACGAGTGCGGGCTAGCTCTTGCTTGTGGATTTGACTGCAAGTGTGAACGGAGCATAGTAGCTCGTAGCGTGTCCGCAGACCAGGGCTGGGCAGTATCGAAGGCACACATTTTCAATGGCATCTGTGGATACAGTTAGATATCTTGTACTACCTGCTATCACTTGCTGGAAAATTATGTATCAGAGTCAAAGACACATTTTGAAAGCATGAGATATCTTGAATATATATCAATACTTCCAGAAGTGCACCTCTAAATTTGAAGCAGCATTTTTTTTTTTTTTTTCTGTTGTGTGTGGGGATGGTTTGCAAATGAACTCACAGTATAAACAAACTGCTGAAAGGATAAAAACAAGTCAAATCTTGGGCCATGGTGAAAGCGACATGATCGAAAGAAACTAACTGTCCCAGCTTCAGGATCTTGCCTTTTTGCACATGCTTTTGTCTGAAGGATAAAGCAGCACAAGGGAGCAGTTTTCAAATCGCTGCTTGTGGCCTTAGATTACTTTGAAGGCTATGCTTTTTGTTTTCTAGGTGAGAGTCGTAAGTGTGGGGTGCACAACGCATTGTCGGCTCTACAGGAGCCAGGCAGTGGTGCCATCTGCAAAAGCGCCAGATAGCCAGGCAAGACCTGGTCAATTCAATGCAACATCATCATCTATCTTGTATATTTTGTGAATGGGCTCCTTGTTACGAAAGTTTCTGCACCTGGCTCAGCTTGTTTTTGGTTTGTTTCTGGCTTCTTAGTGGAGCTTTGTTTAATCACTCGGAATACATGCTGCATAAAGACGCATTCACACAGCCCCACAATTTCGGAGTCAGGCGAAATTTTCTTTTTTCGTCTTGTCAATGGGTGATTAACCTGCCTGTGCCATTCCGATAGAAAAATATTTTTCCTGTTATGTTGTCCAATGAAGACTTGAATAAAGGCTTCATGTTTGTTTTGCGAGACAAAAATCAGTGGTACATACTCTTCAGCCTTGAAATCGGGCTTCAGCTAAGGTTACAACCTTGAAAGTCTCTTTCTCTCTCTTTCCTCCCCTCCCCCCACCACTGCCTATACCACTGTACTGAAGGATATGAGTGTTGTGCAAACAATTGCATGAGAAAGTCCTTAGTGTTAGCCAAAGGCATGCATGTGCATACTTCCTGCTGTAGTGCCCCAGAATGTGTTTCCCAAGTGCGAAATATTTTGGATATTAAATCCTTAATGGGAACCTGCATTCCACTATTGGATGACAACTTGCATTGAGATATTGAATGAGGATTTGCAGTAAGATATTGAATGATAGCCTAAAGGGAGGAAAACAATACCATGCTTGTTAGGTTTATGGTCATAAAAGAGCAGGCATTTTTTTTATTTTTTTAGTCCCAATGAACCTTACTAGTCAAGTTATTGGAATTATGCACTGTAGTTAGCACTGGTTACTTCCATTGATTTCAAATCTCAGTAGCAAACCAAGGTTCCAATAAACACCAGTCATTTAGCACATTTTTATTTTAAGAAATATGGCACAGCATATTCAGTGGCAGTACACAATAATAGCCACTGAACATAAGCAGTCAACTTTCTTGGTCCAAGCAATCTTGCGGCGGAAAATATAGCAAGGCCAAGATTTCTTTGCCAACTGTGGGCAGCATGGAAGGAGTTAGCATTGAATATCTCATGCAGACATACTCTTGGCTGCAGTTTCAATGAAGTTGGCCAGCTTTACATCATTTTCAGAGAGACCTCCCACATCGTGGGTGCTCAAGGTAACTTGGACTTTGTTGTACACATTGAACCATTCAGGGTGGTGGTCCATCTTCTCAGCTTGCATCGCAATGCGAGTCATGAACCCAAATGACTGCAAGTAGACATAAAGCAATCTGTTAAGGAAGGTTTAGTCGTACCCCAGTTGTAGCACAATGTGAAAATAGAGGTTGCGGAGCAATTCTTGCTTGATCATATTGTATGCACTTAAATATATGCACATGCCACTGCTGACAGTCATCAGGTGAAAACTGCCTTAGCTCAGTGGCACCACAGTTCGCCAAAAAGACACTAAGCCTTTAAAAGCACAAATAGTTGGTAATACCAGCATATGACATTGCTTAGACTATGTAGCTTTGATGCACATGTGCCTTCAAAGGAACAAACAATTTGTGTAGTTAAATTTACATCTTACAACCATGGGCGGCGATTCACATAGGTCCAGCTCTTCTGGTCAAGAATTCAGAGATGTGGGGATCTCCCAACAGCGGAGATTCAGGGTTTATTGTATTACCTGGTTAAAATTCTTGAACAGAAACTCCTTGTAAATGGCATCCCGATCCTTGACAGTTGTCCATCCTGCACTCAGCAGAGGAGCCAGCTTTGTCTTCCTCTCCTCTTCAGTCAACTTTGCTCTCTTGGAGGACTGCAAGGAGATATGAGATGCATCATTGTTTTGTTGCTAATCAATATTTTGCTACAGCATCACATATATATTTAATAAGTCAAAAGATGCAACTGCTTGAAACCGAAACTGGACTGGGAACAAAGAAGAAATATAGAGGAGGAGAGAGTTAACAAAAATCATGTGGCTGTGCAACGTTTTTTTTTGTTTTTTTTTTATCAACGTATTTGCAGTTTTGTAGAAGCCACAAAAAATGGGTACAATATTTCTTTTCTCTTTCTTATATTGAGTGTGCCTCTGACGGCCCACGACTTTGATTATATTTGGTGGCTATATCCAAACCTTAAAAGATGGCATGTGACCACGGAGAGGAGAGTGAGCGCAACTCAAACCGACCAGTTCTCAAACGGCGGTTTTCGGGGCGAAAAGAAAACGAATTTCGAGTCACAAATTATGTTCTGGGTAGTTGGGCTCTCACATGTCATGTACAAATAAAAACATTGGCAAGTATAAATACTTTGTCAGTGTCCCTTTAAGTATTGAGCATTGGGAGACATCTCTCAGATAACCCTACACTCCGTGTCACTAGTTCTGTGCAGTGTAGGCGAAGGCAACGCCAGGCAAAGAGAAAAAGGGCGACCACTAGGAAGGCAGGCAGGAAAGAAAGGCAGCGGAGGGCGAGGGGAGAAAGAGAGTACTAGGAAGGTTAGAGAGGAAAGTGGGTTTCCCTCCTCCTCCCCAGCCTTCCTAGTGCCTGCCCTTTCTCCCCTCGTCTGACATTGCCCTCGCCTGTACTGCACGCAACTAGTCACACAGAGTATAGTGTCATACATGAATGACATAAAAAACGATAAAAGGGCTTGGTATGTCTTCACAACAGATCGAGCTGCCATAAGTTGTGATTTCAACTGGAAATCCATTTTCTGCTCAAGATACCTTTAAATAATGTGGAACTGAAGAAGAAAATTGTGTACATATTTACGTGCAAGCTTGGTGAGTGCCTTCTAGGGCTCTGTAGCAGTTACTATAGTCCGTTGCAACTCACGAAGGTAGGGCGAGGGTAAGACAGGTTGGGGAGGAGGAAGCAGAAGGAATGCTGGAGAAGAGAGGGGGAAACCTCCTCCTCTCTTTAGCGTTCTGTCTGGTTCCTCCTCCCCAGCCCGCCGTCTCACCCTCTCCCTACCTTCTCGAGTTGCAACGGACTATAGGGTCGAACTTGATATATGATCTTGCACTTTTGGTGCAATATATACATACAATAGTTATATCATATTCAAGATTGGCTAAAGCTGCACGCATAAAAACAACTTTGCCTTTTTGGGTGTCTTCTCAAATTCCTGTGTAAGCCGAAATCTTAGTTGTCCGGGCACTAAGCTCGCAGTACGGCGGATTTGTTAATAGGGCGAAGCATTGGGAAAATTAATTTTGCACCCTGTTCCTTCTTAGCTGGGACGTATGTTTGGCGTTGCTCAGGAATGCAAGTGTGTGACGAAGACTGCCGAATAATCTCGCGCATGAGTTGAATTTGTTCACCTGAGGCTCTGGGCGAACGTGGTGGGCTATGTTCGACAAATGTTTTGTTTCTCCTAAAAAGAAACGGAAGTGACGATATCACATCCCATTGGTTAAAGGCTCAAATGACGAAAGAGGGAACTTTCCTCATTTGAGCCTCCAACCAATCAGACACGATATTGGCACTTCCCGTTTCTTTCTAGGAGAAACGAAACATTTGTCGAACATAATCCCCTAGGAATTCACCTGAATAAACAGTGTGACTAGTGGTAAACTACCGCATCACATTCAATTCTGTTCACATTAGCGATTTTGCATAAGGGTGTGTGTGTGTGTGTGTGTGTGTGTGTGTGTGTGTGTGTGTGTGCGCGTGAGTGTGTGTGTGTGTGTGTGTGTGTGTGTGTGTGCGTGAGTGTGTGTGTGTGGGGGGGGGGCAACCGAAATTACCTGCAAACAGCAACACAACGTTTTAAATTTTTTTTTCATATATACATATATATATATATATATATATATATATATATATATATATATATATATATATATCAGGGTGTCGAACCGGAACCGAACCAAACCGGAACCGAACCGGTATTTTTTCCGGAACTGAACCCGAACCCGAACCGTTATATTGTTATCGCAATGAACCCGAATTGGAAAAAAAAATAACGGTTACCGGCTCATGTCAAAACGGTTCGGCCACGCGCTGTTGACAATGAATGTGCTATCAATGCCATTAGTTTTTTAAGTGCCGTCAACTGACACACACCTCGCTTACATATTTTTCTTCTCCACTCAGTCTTAGGAATATAAACGCTGCGTCCATGAATCTTGACATAGGAACCAGTATTGCGCTGGTCACGGCTTGCACGGAAAAAAAAAAATTAAAAGGCTGTGCAAAAAAAAAAAATCGCGTCACGGGATTTCATTTTTCTACAATCTCGTAAATCCTAAATGCTGCTGTGTGCTCATTTCATAACACGTTTCTAGAACGCGCGAGTTCTTGAAGCTTGCTTCCATCGCAATGAGAAAAGAAAAGGCTGTGGAGTTTGATAATAATGCATCCGGTTTCGTATAGGCACTTAGAAGCTAACATATTTGTGAGACAGCAAACTCGTCTATTTTAATATTTATCCTGTTACGTCCTTCTGGCGTTGCGTTCGGTGAAGTGTTTTTCATATTCCGTATCTTGTTTAATGAAAACTTCTTTAAGGGTCTAATTTGAGTTACCGAAGGCTAGTTCAAATAAAGAAAGCTGTATTTTCTCCCCACTGTTCCTTCAATTGCTTACACGCCGAGGTGGCGGGATAGTTAGCGAGTTCTACTTGTAAGTGGGTTTGTAAGGAGGTCGCGAATTTTACAGCCACTGCGTCGGACCCAATTAGATGAAGTCCGAATGCGTAAACATCGGTGAGGTAACCTTTGAGTGCACATAAAGAAACCATTCCTGGTAGAAATTCCTGAGCCTTACACTACGATGTATCCCGTCTCGTATGTGCTGATTTCAGATGTTTTATTTGTAATTTATTTTCATGATGCAATTTGTCATTTATAATTTTCGAACCGGTTCAGCGCCCCGAACCGGTTCGCGGATCGAATTAATCGAACCGGAACTGAACCGGAACAAAATAAATTTACCTGAACCTGAACCGTAACCGAACCCGTATTTTTTTTCGGTTCGACACACTGATATATATATATATATATATATATATATATATATATATATATATATATATATATATATATATATATATATATATATATATATATATATATATACATACATACATACATACATATATATATATACACACACAAAGGTCTAATTTAAAATTTGGAAACTTTTCCCGCCTATTTCGCTTCAGAGGCCTCGAAAGGAGCTACGCAAACGAAACCCAAAAAAAAACTGCAATAGCTGCCCGAAAATGGCGCCCTGAATGACGTTGAAGGAATGTCGGACCCTCTCCGGCCACTTGTTGATCCAGTGAGACGAGTGAATCTTTAAAAAAGCCACCACGCTTCCCCACGAGCTTCGTATACGAGCTACTATGGAAGGCAAAAATTGCACGCCGCTTGTGAGTTCAGAAGGAGCTGGCCACGTACCATTTTGGACAGCAGACGTGACGACCGTGCAGCCTTGAGGGAAATGGTGCTCCGAAAAACTGTCCATCCTCCCCCAGTCATTACAGATAAAAATACGATAAAAATGTCTAGACGAAAAGAGGCACGACCTTCTCTCAAAAAAGAGGAGCGGCCGAAGCGGCGAAATCGACACACTGTTGCCAGGCGACAATTTCCCATCCGGGCTTCTAGTGCTTCTAGTTTCGATTTCGTTGCATGCGCGTTTCTCTCCGACGTACAAGGCAGAACCAGCGGAACTACGAGCATGTGCATTGAGCGCGTTCGTGAAGAATAAAGCAGAGCTCTGGATTAAGGGCCTGTTCACACATACAGCGGGACGCTATAACCATAGCGCTGACTTTGCGCTACGCGTGTGCTGACGGGAGCGTTCACCAGATTTGTATCGCAACGTCAAAACTGTTGCTCATGGGAGGCGATAAGCATCTGACGACACGTGGACAGCGCTCTGTCAATATGGCTCTTCTTTTTATTATCGAGCAAGATCTGTAGTGCTTTTTTCTGTAGTTCTCAAGTTTTGAGTGGAGAGCCTGTTTTACGGAAAGTGTCTAAAGGAGCTGTGTAACGATTTTAACGTTGAAAGAATTTGCATCTTCTATTTTTGACATTGTTTATCTTGTTACAAAGGACGGAGAACACGTCTCCTTCGTTCGAAATGTTGCGATTCTGCTGCTGTGTAATCGCGAGGCAAAAGTTGGAATATTTCCCGACCTGCAGCCGCGAGCGGCGGAACCACGCGGCATGACGTCAATGGGGGACTTGTAAAAAGATAGGAAGTTGTGCAAATACCTGCTCGATAATAAAAAGGTAATTTTTCTATAAATCGCGTCGTTCCAAATATAAATGCGTTAAAAACCTGGTATCATCGATAAAACTTTTATTATATGGAGTTTAGCGGCGCCATCTATCCGAGGTCAACAAAACCATCGGCTCTATCTGCTACCGCGAACAGCCGCCAGGAGCCGGAGGGGGACGGAGGCAGAGCCGGAGCCGGACGGGGTCACGGGGCTGGTTGGACCCGGACGAGACTTTCCTCCTGTCGCTATGGTCACGTGGTCACGTGGTCGCGAGCGGGTGAGTTCTCGCTGCTCACTGATGGCTCTAGAGAGAGAGAGAGAGAGAGCTTCACCGGAACCCCGCGTGTCCCCCATTCACGTCACAGCGCACGTGACTCGGAAGATGGTGAAGGAGTTAAAGGGCAACTCCGCTTCATTTTTGATATTTAGAAAACTATGTAGCCCTCTTCAGTATCATATAGGAAGACCCCATGTCAAATATTACGATCTAATTCCGTTTGTTTATTTAATAAACTGGCCAGCAAACCTTCAAGCGAGCCAAGTCGCCGAAATCTGCCAACTCTAGCGTGCGGCGCGAGGCGCAATCATCAGAGCAGTCAATGCCACGGAGTTGGAGCGGCCAACGTTGAGCCACTACGTCAGAGGCATGATACGTCATTCTCACGTTTTGCTTGTTTTTACTTCTCAGAGCGAAATTGAACGATGACGTCATGAGTTTCTCCTTCCGGTGTTGGCTGACCGGGCGTTCACGTGATCACCGTAACACGGATGCGCTACTTTGCGCTGCCCTGCGCGCTTATCGGTCTGTTTCTCCGCTCCCCTTCTCTTTCGTCTTCTCCTCTTCCCCCTCTCCCCAGGCCATCACCGTCCACGCCACGCGAAGCGACCTGCCCACGTCCAATAAAAAAAAAAAAAAATAAAAAAAAAAAACCTGCCCGCGTCGCGTGTCCTGTTTTTCGCTCCCTCCCGAGCGTCACAAGACCACGTGGTTCGACGTGACGTGCCATGCCTCTGACGACCCGAGAACGATGTTGCCTGACGCAACCGAAGTTTCGGTTTCGGTGTCTGCTGATGTTTAAATTAGGATTACACAAATAATATTCCACATTTCGCGAATCCGAAGACGTAGAGTTGTTTAGTAGTGCTTTGTGAATGTAAATCACATGGAAGCCTAAATTTTTCGGAATTGAGCGGAGTTGCCCTTTAAAGGGGTAGGGAAACGAAATTTCAGCGCTCATTTTCTGGCTTTAATGTGTTGCATGTTGCACCCTAACCTCAAAAACACCAGTCTTCCGTTGAAAAGCACAAGAAAACTAATTTTAAAGCTAAATAAACGACCTTCAATGTGCACCTGGTGGATGCATGCGGAGCCTATTTGGGAGGTAGTCTAGCAACGTTGTGGAAACTGCTACGTAGTCGCGACGTAGCAGTTTCCTTCGGAGCAGCGCCGCTCTTTGGCATTTCAACGTTTTCCTTTTAGCTTTCCTCCTCAACTCACAAGTCGCGCATTGTACCAAACGGTTCAAGAAGACGGAAAGGAAGGACTCCCCTCTTTCTCGGACCCTCGTTCGTGCAACCGGACATAATTCTCCCCCTAGAAGATTAGCACGTCGCTCAAAACTCGAACAAAAGTTGCTTTCCCCACCTCGTTCAGCCCTAAGCTGACAGTGTTGTGGAAGCTACGTGCTCCTTGGGCCAGCCACACGCTCGTCACCCCACGGGCACTTCGAGCGGCTCGGTTGTAATGCGCTGAGGCTATTGACACCATCACAACGCTGACAACGCCACCAAAGGCAAAGCTCATAACCACGCCTGCCTTGCTACTCCACGAACGCGGGAAATCTTTTCTTTCTGTTTTTGTTTGCGCCGCATATCCCATGACGCATCGCGCTCTCCGTTCGCTTCTCTTCGAGCGCTTGCTGGAGTGCACCGTTTGGAACGAAAAATATGGCCAATCGTTCAAAATACAAACGCGCGATTATCATTTACGGTTATTATACGTCATGCTTGACTCATTTCCGAACGAAATGTGAATATTTCAATTTTTGTTTCCGTAGGTACCGAAAACCTCAATCTTTGTACGTTTTTAAAATAAAAACTAGGCGATGCAGGCAAAAGCGTTTTTTTGTTTGTTCTGTACTTCAGAAAGGTCGAGAGTCGAGGCACCAAATCCCAAATTATTTAAGCAGGGCACTGGAATTGTCGCAAAGCTCTTTAACTGCACGATCGAGGTCACGTGATTTATGGGCTGCGTATGCTATTTCACGTGACGCGGCCGCCATAAGGTGGCTTCAAACACTTCAAATTGTCGCTCCTTTCTCCCCTCCGCGCCCTGGCGAAGGCGTTGTATTATGGCTGGTGATGGACCGAAACTGCAGAACTTCAGATTCGGCAAAGATTGCGCAAGTTCGGCAAAGATTTGGCAAATGTCTGCGCACACGCGAGAACGCGACGGGGCCATGGATTGCAAATGAACGCCGTGCAGTCGTGCGGTTGCCGTCGTACAGTGTAGTACAACCAACGGTTACGGCGAGGTGGGGAGTAGGCAACACGGAAACTGTGTTTTCGTGAGTGTGGTTCTCTTCAATATATTCTGCCTCAAAAACAGAAGATCGACCCGTAACTTAGGAAGTCCACTGCGCAGGTGACTAATGATGCGGACCACCTCGGTCGTGAAGGCGAAGCCGATCCACCTCTCCTCCACCAACACCTTCCACCAGACGCCCAAGTGACAGCCGACTAAATCGCGTCTCGCGCCGTCAATATTGATCTAGAAAAATTTATTTTACGAGTAAAATTAATGTCTTGACACGCGTGCTACCCCAAACTGCTAATTTTTTTTTTTTTTTTTTTTTTTGAGGGGCGCAATAAGAAGCAAGAGGTATATTTATGATCACGCATTTATGATCCTATTTGTAAATGATATATACGAGCCCAACTACCCAGAACACAATTTGCGGCTCGAAATTCGTTTCTTTCTGCCCGAAAACCAACTATCGAGAACTGGCCAGTTTGAGTAGCGCTCACTCTCTTTTCCATGGTCACGTGCCGTTTTCTATGGTTTAGACACAACCACCAAAGATAATCAAAGTTGTGAATCATCGAAGGCACACATTCAATGTTATAAATAAAAAAAGAATATGATACCTATTTTTTGTAGCTTCTAAGAGCTGCAAACGTGTTAATTAAAAAAAAAAAAAAAAAAAAAAAAAAAAGTTGCCAAGTTAGGTGATTTTTGGCAACACTCGAAAAAGGAAGAAGACGTACTTCGAATAGGTCTGCGCTCTTTTCGTCTCTCTTATTTGTGGCTATATTTTAATAGTATCAACCCTCTACACGTTTTTCTTTGAGCCCATACAAGTGCGAAGCCTGCCTCCAACTGTATGCGGGCAGGTGTGCCGGTCGGCTGGGGATTATTCCTCGGCTTTCCTGAAACGACTCCGCTATGTCCACCAGAACTCCCTCACTAACGGCAAGTCAAAGAGCTGCAACCGATCGATACAGTGTGAGTTCCTCGATATGCGGTACATCTCTCGCAAAATCGGAGTACGAAGCTTCCGCTGCTGACTTGGCAGAAGACCTCGCAGCTGGTCAACATTCAAATACCAACGTATTGAATGCCGAAGAGTCACAACTCTGTGACATGGAGCTCAACGACGACGAAGAAGGCTGGCAGACCAAAGGAGCTAAAAAACGCAAGAAGACTGACTCAAACTCAAGCAAAAGCACGGATACAGTTACCCGCTCGCCGAAAGTGACAGAAGGGCTGACTGTCATCTTTGTATCAACGGTTGAAAATCAGCTCATCGCAACACTCAGCAGCCTTAAACTGTCAATTGCTTTGGAACAAATGTGCCCGGAGTGCATTCTTGAAGTCCGTCCCAACAAAAGACTCAACCTTATTGCAGTAGCCACACGCAGTGGCCAGACGACTCGAACGCTCCTTGCCTGCTCCGAGCTTTGCGGAATGAAGGTCAGAGCATATGAGCCAGTTCCGCGACACTACGCCGTCGGAGTGATCACAGACGTTGATCCTGCGCTCTCTGAAGTAGAGATCGAACAGAACGTGAGATCTCCGGAAGGTCGAGTGGCAAGATTGCGACGACTTGGCAAGAGCACAGCAGTGAAGCTGTCCTTCTCTACAACAACACTGCCAAGTTATGTTTACCTAGGCCATGTCCGTCACCCAGCCCATACAAAAATGGTCTATAGTCGGCTATAGAAAATCCTTTGTATGGCCGGCTATAGCAAATTGGCCCAATTAGCTATAGCCGTTTCTATGGCTGTCTATAGCTTTCCCTATGGTCTCCCCTATAGTTGTCTATAGCTTTCTCAAT